AGAGAGGAGGAGTCAGGTGAGAGGAGAGGGGAGGAGTCAGGTGAGAGGAGAGAGGAGAAGTCAGGTGAGAGGAGGAGGAGTCAGAGTCAGAGGAGAGAGAGAGAGGAGAGGAGAGTCAGGTGAGGGGAGGAGTCAGGAGAGAGGAGGAGTCAGGAGAGAGGAGAGGGGAGGAGTCAGGTGAGGGGAGAGGGGAGGAGTCAGGTGAGGGGAGAGGGGAGGAGTCAGGTGAGAGGAGAGGAGGAGGAGTCAGGTGAGGAGAGAGGAGGAGTCAGGAGGAGAGAGGAGGAGTCAGGTGAGAGGAGAGAGGAGGAGTCAGGTGAGAGGAGAGAGGAGTCAGAGGAGAGAGGAGGAGTCAGGTGAGAGGAGAGAGGAGGAGTCAGGTGAGAGGAGAGGGGAGGAGTCAGAGGAGAGAGGAGGAGTCAGAGGAGAGGGGAGGAGTCAGGTGAGAGGAGAGAGGAGAGTCAGGAGAGAGAGAGTCAGGTGAGGAGAGAGGATCAGGTGAGGGGAGGAGTCAGGAGAGAGGAGGAGTCAGGAGAGAGGAGAGGGGAGGAGTCAGGAGGAGGAGGAGAGAGGGAGGAGTCAGGTGAGAGGAGAGGGAGGAGTCAGGTGAGAGGAGAGAGGAGGAGTCAGGAGAGGGAGAGGAGTCAGGTGAGAGTCAGAGAGGGAGAGAGGGAGGAGTCAGGTGAGAGGAGAGAGGAGGAGTCAGGTGAGGAGAGAGAGGAGGAGTCAGAGAGAGGGGAGGAGTCAGGTGAGAGGAGAGGAGGAGTCAGAGGAGAGGGGAGGAGGAAGGAGTCAGGTGAGAGGAGAGGGAGGAGTCAGGTGAGGAGAGAGAGAGGAGGAGTCAGAGGAGAGGGGAGGAGTCAGGTGAGAGGAGAGAGGGAGGAGTCAGGTGAGAGGAGAGGGGAGAGTCAGGTGAGAGGAGAGAGGAGAGTCAGGTGAGGAGGAGAGAGGAGGTCAGGGAGAGGGAGGAGTCAGGTGAGAGGAGGAGGAGGAGAGAGTCAGGTGAGAGGAGAGGGGAGGAGTCAGGTGAGAGAGGAGGTCAGGTGAGAGGGGGAGGAGTCAGGTGAGAGGAGGAGAGGAGGAGTCAGGTGAGGAGAGAGGAGAGGAGTCAGAGGAGAGGGGAGGAGTCAGGTGAGAGAGAGAGGGAGGAGTCAGGTGAGAGGAGAGAGGAGGAGTCAGAGGAGAGGGGAGGAGTCAGGTGAGAGGAGGAGTCAGGTGAGAGAGGAGGAGTCAGAGGAGGAGGAGGAGGAGGAGGAGTCAGGTGAAGGGTGAGAGGGCAGGTTTCACATTTGCTGGTAAAAAAAAAATTGAAAAAAGTTAAATGGTTGCTTTAAAACTGTTGTTAAATCAATTTTTAAAGCCGGTTATAGTGTTTTTTTTTTTTCATATTAAATTTTTTCTCTTGTGTCATTCTTTTTTTTTGGAGGTGGGACTCATAGACTTTATATATAAATAAAAGTCGTAGTTAACCCGCTCATCTGTTTCTCTGAACCTGCTGATGTCACCGTCCTCATGTTGATCTTAAAATGTTCGTATTGACCTGCTCTGTGTGATCCTGGTGTTTTTATTAAACTGTTTTTTTCCATAAATCTATTTCTATTCCAAATATGGAAATGAGCTACAAATGAACTCCTGTAACTGCTTCATTTTCGTTTAGTTTATTTAGTTTCTTTGACAGGGAGCATGTACTGGAGCATTAATCAAAGAAACACTGAAGAGAGAATCTATAGACGGAGCTCATTTCCACTGCAGCCCTGAACTGACTGGACGCTCCCTCAGTCCACTTCTTTCTACAGTCTTTGTTGGGGCTTGGGCGAAAACACTGGATCCACAATTATTAGAGTTTAGAGTTGTTGTTTTTTTCCTTCATTTCTGGTTTTGTGCTTAAAGTAAATGTGTTTTTGTCTCCTCAGTCTCTGCGTGAGGAGCACCAGGGCCACGAGAAGGAGCTGACGAGGCTCAGGGCTCACTTCGAGGAGGAGACGCGCAGGTTTAAGGACGCCCAGGTGAGGGCGCTGGAGGACCTGGAGGAGAAGCACCGCAGGCTGAGGGACGACGCACAGCAGGAGAAGGAGGAGGAGAAACAGCTGCTCATCAAGGTCCGGACAAACTTACACAACACCACGACATGACGTTTTCTCTAAATCCTGAGTTCAAGGGGCATCACAATATTCTGAAGTCCCCACTTTTACATCATGCTGGGGGTGTTCTGCATGCATTTCTACGATGGAATGTTGCTGTACCGTCGAATTACAAGAATTACTGCTGCAATTACACATCAACAATGTCACAGGGATTTGGTCTGGTTTAGTCCTGGTCTAGACAAAAGCTGAAATCAGGACTAAACCAGGTCTAAACCAGGTCTAAATCAGGTCTGAACCTGGACTGTCTCAGGTCTAAATAAGGTCTAAATCAGGTCTAGACCAGGGCTAAACCAGGTCAAACCAGGTCTAAATCAAGACTATCTCAGGTCTAAACTGTCTAAAAATGTGTCCAAACCAGGTCTAAACCCGGTCTAAATCAGATCTAAATTAGGTCTAAACCAGGTTTAAAATGGGTCTAATCTAAATCAGGGCTATCTCAAGACTAAACCAAGTGTAAACCCAGTCTAAACCAGGTCTAAAACAGATCTAAATCAGATCTAAACCATGTCTAAACCAGTTCTAAATCAGGTCTAAAAAGGTGTCCAAACCAGGTCTAAGCCAGGTGTAAACTAGGACTAAACCAGGTCTAAATCAGCTCTAAATTAGGTCTAAACCAGGTCTAAAGAAGGACTAAACCAGGTCTAAACCAGGTCTAAACAAGGACTAAACCCGGTCTATCTCAGGTCTAAACCAGGTCTAAATGAGCACTAAACCAGGTCTAAACGAGGACTAAACCCAGTCTATCTCAGGTCTAAACCAGGTCTAAATCAGGTCTAAACAAGAACTATCTCAAGTCTAAAACAGGTCAAAACTGGGTGTAAAAAGGTGTCCAAACCAGATCTAAACCGGGTCTAAATCATGTCTAATCTATGTGTTCTGCATGCATTTCTATGATAGAATGTTGCTGCAGGTGCCAAGATACTGTAAGAAACTCAATAAAAGATAGAAAACTGGATTAAAGACACAGTTTCAGGAGCTTGTGATCAATGCCGCTGTTCAGACATGGAGCGTGTTTACATGAACATCACAATCCCACTTATGAGAACCTGAAATACTGGAGCTGGTTTGTTCCAACAGTGACTGGGAAACTGTGGCACGTAAACGCAGTATCCTGAATTAGGGATGGGCGTGATTAGTCGATTAATCGATAATTGATCATTAAGAATTTCATCGATTACGTTCATTTTAATCGACAAACCGAATGTAGGTTGTTGTGTGTAGTGTGACCAAACAGGTGTGTACATGTGTCTGTCTGCACTCAGAAGGAGCGAGCAAACACACACACACACACACACACACACACACACACACACGCACACACAACGCACACGCACGCACGCGCGCACGCACTATCTGCACTAATCTGCATCAGTAAATTCAACTTTACGACATATAAACATAACGACTCTAGATCCACATCAGCTGTTTGACATTATAATGTGTTTAATTCAGTTTTGTTCAAATCTCACAGAAACAAAACTTAAAACCACATCACTAATTTACATAAACTAAGTGAAGATAAAACTCCAGCTCTTGTGTCGCTGATGTGGTTCAACTTGTGTTGGATTAAAAGACATGACTCAGGTGAAATACAGGTCAGTGTGACCAGATTTGTGTTTGTCAAAACCAGGACAGCGTACGGGGGAGGGGGGGCGGGCCTCGTCATCCACATTGAGCGACTCTCACCTGGAAAAACTTTTTCCCACTGGACACAGAAACATATGTGCTGCTTTATCCACTGTGCACATGGACTCACACTTGTCCCAACGCAACGGAAAGTGTGGAATTTCTTCTACAAATCCTGGTTAAATCCACATTTGTGCTTCGGTTCGTTACAGACTGACCCACTGTTTGTGTCTCGCTCCTTCTGATGCAGAGACACATGTACACACCTGTTTGGTCACGACACACAACAACCTACATTCGGTTTGTCGATTAAAATGAACGTAATCGATGAAATCCTTAATGATCAATTATCGATTAATCGATTAATCATGCCCATCCCTAGTATACGTGGATATGAGTGTCCCGGTTTCTCATCGCGCATGTAAACCCAGTATCCTGAATCCTGACATAACCGGGATACTGATGTACATGTCCAACACACTCACTGTCTAACAAGCCTCAGACAGAGCAGTGCCTCCAGTTAGCGCTTGTCAACCACCAAAGACGTGATTATTGTCGTTTGAAAGCTGCATCGTGTAACTTTTCTGGCTTTTCAGACATTTTTCTCCACTGTTTGACGTTATTGCTTTGTCTGGAATGTCTCACAGTGCGGCATTAAACCCTTCTATCTCCACGGAGACCAAACCGGACCAAGTTCCAGGTCGGATCTACGGAGAGGCGACCCCCGCGCACAGTCAGAACACACACGTTTTTCTCTGTATTTTCAAGCTATAAAACCACCTGTAATTGAATAAATGTAAAATACAGCTGATTAAAGTCACACTGCGGGACATTCCAGGCGATGCAGTGACGTCTCCATAGAAACAAGCAACCAGAAAGTTACACAGTGCAGCTTTAGAGCCGTCACTAAGTAGAATGACAGTGGTTTTTTTCACAGCGGCCGGTCTCTGTGTCCTCGTTAATGTTTTTTATCTCCAAACGAATCGCCCAGGATTAATCGGCGAAGGTTAATTTGAGCGTTCGTGTCGTTCTTCTTCTTCTTCTTCTTCTGTCTTGGTCCGGTTGTGTTTCGTATTCAGCTCCTGCTCCACTTTGAAGCTCGCAGAAGAAAAAAGAGGTCATGAGAAAAAGTCGAGTCTTACATAAAACGCTGGAGAATTAATTCAGACGAGTTAAATAAGAAAAATCCACCGTCGAATTACAAGAATCACTGCTGCAATTACACATCAGCACATCACAGGGATCAGGTCTGGTTCAGTCCTGGTCCTGGTCTAGTCCTGGTCTAGTCCTGGTCTAGTCCTGGTTTAGTCCTGTTATAGTCCTGGTTTAGTCCTGTTATAGTCCTGGTTTAGTCCTGGTCTAGTCCTGGTTTAGTCCTGGTTTAGTCCTGGTCTAGTCCTGGTTTAGTCCTGTTATAGTCCTGGTTTAGTCCTGGTCTAGTCCTATTATAGTCCTGGTTTAGTCCTGTTATAGTCCTGGTCTAGTCCTGTTATAGTCCTGGTTTAGTCCTGTTATAGTCCTGGTTTAGTCCTGTTATAGTCCTGGTTTAGTCCTGGTCTAGTCCTGGTTTAGTCCTGGTTTAGTCCTGGTCTAGTCCTGTTATAGTCCTGGTCTAGTCCTGTTATAGTCCTGGTCTAGTCCTGGTCTAGTCCTGGTTTAGTCCTGGTTTAGTCCTGTTATAGTCCTGGTCTAGTCCTGTTATAGTCCTGGTCTAGTCCTGGTCTAGTCCTGGTTTAGTCCTGGTCTAGTCCTGCTTTAGTCCTGGTTTAGTCCTGGTTTAGTCCTGTGGTTTAGTCCTGGTTTAGTCCTGTTAGTCCTTGTCCTGGTTTAGTCCTGGTTTAGTCCTGGTTTAGTCCTGGTTTAGTCCTGGTTTAGTCCTGGTTAGTCCTGTTTAGTCTTGGTCTAGTCCTGCTTTAGTCCTGGTCTAGTCCTGCTTTAGTCCTGGTTTAGTCCTGTTTTAGTCCTGGTTTAGTCCTGGTTTAGTCCTGGTTTAGTCCTGGTTTAGACATGTTTTAGTCCTGGTTTAGTCCTGGTTTAGTCTTGGTTTAATCTTGGTTTAGTCCTGGTCTGGTCCTGGTTTAGTCCTGGTTTAGTCCTGGTTTAGTCTTGGTCTGGTCCTGGTTTAGTCCTGGTTTAGTCCTGGTTTAGTCCTGGTTTAGTCCTGGTTTAGTCCTGGTTTAGTCCTGGTTTAGTCCTGTTTTAGTCCTGTTTAGTCCTGGTTTAGTCCTGGTTTAGTCCTGTTTTAGTCCTGGTTTAGTCCTGGTTTAGTCTTGGTTTAGTCCTGGTTTAGTCCTGGTTCAGTCCTGATCTTGTAGAGTTTAAGTATAATTTTCCTTTTTGCTCTTTTGCTTCTAAAGACACAGTTTGTTTTAGTTTTTTGTTTTTTTTGTTAATCGTCGTGGCGACTCACGTGTCCGAGCCGCACGCTCCACAGATCTGACTCATGTGCACAACAAACAGGATTTACTCACGCAGCTTAAGCTTTTCCAGAGCGACTGGAGCTTTTCCTCCTGCAGGACTCGTGTTTAAAGAAACGAGAACAGAAAGAAAAACAGAAAGAAAAACAGAACGAACACGAGCAGCGGCTCAAGGTCAAACAACACTTTTACTTTACTTTTTATTTATTTAATCTGAAAATCTATAAACAACAAACTGACCTGGGTTTTGTATTGACACGTCTTTTTAAACCAGGACTAAACCAGGACTAAACCAGGACTAAACCAGGACTAAACCAGGACTAAACCAGGACTAAACCAAGACTAAACCAGGATTAAAGCTGGATTAATACAGGACTAAACCAGGACTAAAACGAGACCAAACCAGGACTAAACCAAGACTAAACCAGGACTAAACCAGGACTAAACCAGACTAAACCAGACTAAACCAAGACTAAACCAGGACTAAACCAAGACTAAACCAGGACTAAACCAAGACTAAACCAAGACTAAACCAGGACTAAACCAAGACTAAACCAGGACTAAACCAGGACTAAACCAAGACTAAACCAAGACTAAACCAGGACTAAACCAGGACTAAACCAAGACTAAACCAGGACTAAACCAAGACTAAACCAGGACTAAACCAGGACTAAACCAAGACTAAACCAGGACTAAACCAAGACTAAACCAGGTCTAAACCAAGTCTAAATCAGGTCTTAAATCAGGTCTGAACCTGGACTGTCTCAGGTCTAAATAAGGTCTAAACCAGGTCTTGACCAGGGCTAAACCAGGTCCAAACCACGTCTAAATCAGGACTATCTCAGGTCTAAACCGTCTAAAAATGTGTCCAAACCAGGTCTAAACCCGGTCTAAATCAGATCTAAATTAGGTCTAAACCAGGTCTAAAATGGGTCTAATCTAAATCAGGGCTATCTCAAGACTAAACCAGGTCTAAACCAGGTCTAAACCAGGTCTAAACCAGGTCTAAAACAGATCTAAATCAGATCTAAGCCAGGTCTAGGTAAGATCTTAATCAGGTCTAAACAAGGACTATCTCAAGTCTACACCAGGTCTAAACTATGTCTAAATCAGGTCTATCTCAGGTCTAAACCAGGTCCAAATAAGATCTAAACAATGTCTAAACCAGTTCTAAATCAGGTCTAAAAAGGTGTCCAAACCAGGTCTAAGCCAGGTCTAAATCAGCTCTAAATTAGGTCTAAACCAGGTCTAAAGAAGGACTAAACCAAGTCTAAACGAGCACTAAACCCGGTCTATCTCAAGTCTAAAACAGGTCAAAACTGGGTCTAAAAAGGTGTCCAAACCAGATCTAAACTGGGTCTAAATCATGTCTAAACCAGGTCTAAACCAGGACTAAACCAGGTCTAAACAAGTACTAAACCAGGACTAAACCAGGACTAAACCAGGTCTAAACCAGGACTAAACCAGGTCTAAACAAGTACTAAACCAGGACTAAACTAGTACTTAACCAGGTCTAAACAAGTACTAAACCAGGTCTAAACCAGGACTAAACCAGGTCTAAACCAGGACTAAACCAGGTCTAAACAAGTACTAAACCGGGACTATGCCAGAATCAACTCAGGACTAAACCAGGTCTAAACTCGGACTATATTTGGAGAACAGAACTTCTTTTGAGGAGTATATTTGTACTTGTAACATGTCTCCAGCTCAGGAGTCTTGATGTGTCTGATGTATTATTCATGTTTTATTACACTTCAAAATACTTCACGGTCTTTGTGGTTTTGTGTTTTTGTAGAAAATGAGTCAGGAGTTTGAGATCAAGCGTTTGTCTCTGGAGGAGCAGAGGGACCGACTCCAACAGCAGCTGGACAATCTGAAGGAGGAACTGTCCGCCAAACTCAACATGGCCAATCAGGAGGTACCACGGACTCTCATACACACATGTACACCAGGGTTTTAATTAGAGCCCGACCGATATATCGGTTGGCCGATATTATCGGCCGAATTGAGCACCTGGAAGCATATCGGCTATCGGCCGATATACTTGCTGATATGGGCCGATATTTCACGTGGGCATGTTATACGTCGTTATAAAGCTTAGACTCTCTACATTCTGTTCATTTAATCCAATTTACAGACAGATAAATGTACAAATATGTGGCTCCGCATCAGTATTTATCTGCGGAGTCATTTGTCTGTGTGAGAGTCACGTGTGTTTGTTTACATCCGCAGACACAGATCCACTGAGATTATTTTCTTTTTCGGACAATCGGTTTGAGTCTGGATTAAAAGGACATTTATTAGTGCAGATTTGTGATGTGGGAGGAGCCTGTGTGAGCGGTGAGTGTTGGAAATATGTCGACTTTGAAGCAAGTTTTTGGTTAGCGATTAGCTGCTGTAGCTCCTGCACATAAACAGGCCGTTTTCTATTGGTCTATTGTAAAGTGACTATATTGGCCGTATATTTGTTACTGGACCAGTATTGATATGTAAATGATCTGTGAATAGACGTGTGAATGATGAAATTTGCGCATATAATTAATTACCGCGGCACGCAGCATTTACGGCTAAAGGCTAATAGCGATTGTTTATTTACTTGCTAGCAGTGATGGGTCGTTCGCGAACGAAGCGGCTCTTAGATCCGACTCTTTGAAGCGAACGACGGGAGCCTGATCCTTATTGGGAGCCGTGTTTTCTCTTTCTCTCATTTTTTCTCTTCATGCCGCGTGCAAACTCGTGGTAGTTTGACAGCGGCAGCGGCTAAAAACGAAACTATCAAAACTCTGCGTGTGCATAGTGTAAAAAAAAAAACGTGCAAAAATATATTCAGCATAAAATAAATAAACCAGGACTAATCTTGGGGTCGAGAGAGGGAGAGAGATAGAGACCGAGTCCCGACACTCAGTCCTGGTTAAATTCTGGTTTAGTCCTGTTTTGCACATAGTTTAGATCTGTTATAGTCCTGGTTTAGTCCTTTTCCAGTGCTGGTTCAGTTCTGCTTTAGTCCTGCTTTAGTCCTATGACATTTCATGTAAAGAGGCAGAATAACAATAAATGTTGCCTAAATAAACCCAGTTTAAAATCCATAAGAGCCAAACCTAAGTTTTTTTTTTAATAATTCAAGATTTACAGTGAATTTTTACATCACTAAATATATCGGTGATTATATCGGCAGCTCCAACTATCATTATATCGGTATCATATCGGCCACAACAAAATCCATATCGGCCGGGCTCTAGTTTTAATATGAACATTAAACTAAATGATTAGTACTAAATCAATACAACTCATTCTACATGTTACATTTCCGCCGGTTTCTGTTGAATCACCTGAGTTCAGAGGGACGTGATTGACAGGTGGATTATACGATGACCCAACGCCACAAATACAGAAACGATGCAGATTCACAAACTCAAACACAAGTTAAAACGAACCTGCTGCAAGAAACAATACAATAATAATACAGGTGAAACTTCTACTCTATTACGTTTTGTGATGTTTTCCCGCTGTGCCTCGTCCCACAGGTGTCGCATCTGCAGGAGATGGTGCGAGAGGGCGAGCAGAACTTAAACTCGGCTCAGACTCAGATTTCCTGTTTGAAAGAAACTCAAGAAAAACTGAGAATCGAACTGGACGCGACGAGAGCCCGAGTCCGAGAGACGAGCAACCTCCTCACGGACCTCCAGGTGAGAACGTCCGATTATCTACGACGCAAACGCCAGAAGTGCTCAGATCAAATCGTATACGAATATTTCTTTGTCTTAGTCTTTTTTCTGTTGTAAATGTGATTAGATTTGCCTCTTGTGTTTGGAAATCCATGTTCAGGTCATAGTTATTCTGCAAGATTAATCACAATTGAATCAAAATCGAGGGTGACCAGAAGTTTTTACCCGGGACAGTCCCAGATTTTTGACCAGTTTGATCGAAACCGGAACTAAATTAAGGCCGCCGCACATTACAAGAGAATTTGCCTGATTTTGGCTGTGATTTCGTCAACTTTGTGTCTTCATGTGCGATTGTGAAGCCGCGGCGCACCACAAAACGGCGCTGTGAATTCAGTTTTTTGCGTTGTTTAAAAGTAAAAAGGTGGGAGTAGTTCCTCACGTGCGTCTGTTTACATCCACACAGCGCACGGATCGAGCTGAAGCTGCAGATTCTCCACAGTGACTCTACTTCCTGTGAACTTTATCAACAATCTTTTAGGCTTTAAAAATCATGTATCTGAAGTTTTGCTCCACATTTCACAAATAATAACAACACAGTTTTGACTTGTGTCTAAACTAGAAGTGCAGAGTCTGATCTTTTGAACACTTAAAGGTTGTATGGAGGATTTTTTTTTAGTTTCAAACTGTCAGTGAAAGATTAAAATACCATTACAGAGACGCAGCAGCTTTGTAATTATGATGACCAAAAAAAAAAAAGAACGAAAATCTATCAACTGTGGACGTGTTGAGGCCAGATAAACATCAGCCAATAGAAAACGAGGCTCCCTCATTTTCTATTGGCTGTTAGGTTGTCAATCAAACTCCCTAGTATAACTGACTCGTCGGAGCGCGGGGATTACGTGTGGTTTACGCAGGTGGTTTCTTAGAGGCTTTTTTCGAACTGTCGCTTCCTCGCATTTCGCACAAAGTTTGTCGCGACGGCGGACGAGAATCCACGACCGGTTCGCCGCAAAAGAAAGTCAGTTTTTGAGGTCGCTGAAAGAAGAAGAGAAGAGGAAAAGTAGCAAAGCCAAACTGAGGTGAATCTTGGAGATCTCGTCCAGCGATGGCGCGACCGAAGCAGACGAAGGGTCTAAAACCTGACGCGTCGGTCGCTGAATTACTTCTAGACAGGAAACTTCAACGGTGATTCTGAACGCGCACAAGGACTGTCGCTGTATTTCTCTTCCCTTAAAAAAATCCTCTATACAATCTCAGAGCGAGTTGTTTTACTGGAGACAGGAAACAGCCAACGCCATCACAGCTTCACAACTTTATATCCTGTGGTCCACAGACAGATCCAGCTGCAGTCTTTGAGATCGGAGATTTTAAGTCCTATAAGATTCACCTCGTGTCTGTGGTGTGTACTTTTTGTCGCACTTTTAAAAATCGTTTAAGGCCCCGTTTACATGTACACGGATATTTTTTAAAACGGAGACATTTTCCTTTGTTTGTACGCATCTTTTACATCCAAACGAAAATTCATCTTTCTAAAAACTTCATCTAGAGCGGAGATTCTGGAAAACTACAATTTGGCGTTTGCGTGTAAAGTGAGACAAAGTTTTAGGAGTTGACGCGCCAAAAGTGCGACCAAAGTTTCCCTTTTTCTCTGATGATGATGATGATGATGAAGCATCAGAGCAGCAGTTGTGTTTCTTCTTCTTCATTTTCACACACAGCTGATGTTTCATATCCGTGACCAGAGACCAGTGAGGCTTTATCAGATCTGTGGAGAGGCGAGCCGCTCACTAATGCACCATTTTTAAAACTTACAACTGTAATGAAATAAATGCTGCAGGTTTGAATCTAGTCCAGGCTCGGCTTAGAGACTCGGTGTGGTTCTGACGGCGCTCGATGGAGGATTTATGCAGGACGATGTAAACAAAAACTTTTTTTCTAAACTATGTTGTTTGTGTAGCATATCAAACAGGTGTATGCAAGGGACAAAGGGGTGGAGTTGGTGTAGGTACGGGCTAGAAAACAGAAGGCTGTGGCTCTCTGGGAGGTAGGGAAACAGTAAAAAGCACAACAAACTACAGAGATATGGTTGGTATTTTATATCGAAAAGTGAAATATATATATTATATTTACAATATTTACAATATTTACAATGCTCTTCAGATTTCCTCACGTTTGGTTAATACAAGTGAACAATAGGAAACAGGAGCGGTGGACAAGTCACTTTGTTAATGTCCTTTATCATTGTCAAAAACCAAAGGGTGAAATTGAATGTCCGCACTTCGTGTAGAAGTGTACATATAGTCCTTCAGGGTGTGTGCGTGTAATTGTCCAAACACGGGTTGAGTAGGTGTGATGCGGGACTGGACTGGCTGCAACAGCCCCTAACCCGACCGTAGAAGCTGTTGAAGTGTCTTTCGTTGAATTCAAAGTTCCTGGGTTCAGCTCGTCATCAGGATGGTTTTTCTCAACCTCAATCACCTGGCCTGTGATAAATAACAGCACCAGTCTTAATAAAATACAGTTCGGCTGATTAGCTATTAGCCATAGCTATCGGTAACTCTGATTAATAATGTATCTGCTAGCTAGCTTAATTCATAATGTACACAATTGTTCAGCGCACACAATAAGTAAAATGACATTCCAATACATGAACAGTAAATTATATTAGCATAACAATAGCCTGCAATCCATAAACAAGTTAGCGGTGGGGGCTATTGGCATGCTAGCGGCAACAACCAAAACAGACAGACAGACAGACTCACCAATTCCTTTGCGCTATCATTTAATTTGGTCTTTTCGGCATCGATATTAGCGGTAATGGCTCCTGCGCAGCCGTCCTGTCTCGCCTCACTCCCGGGTGTGTGGAGGGAGGGGAGCAGGTGACTTCATGAAAGTGCGAGCGTGTGCGTGACGCGTTTAGTGACTCGTCGCCGTTGGAATATTCGCTATTGACCAAATTTGTCCATATTAACCTGGGTTACATTTGCACGATGTTATTTTGGAGAAATATTCGTTTCTCAACAAACCAGACTCTGTGTAAACGTCACCTCAGATCGAAAAATCCTGTTGTGTGCAGCGGCTTTAAGACTAAACCAGGACTACATCAGATCTAAACCAGGACTAAAACAGGACTGTCACAATTTTTGACTAATCAAATCCAGTAAAGAGGATCATAAAATGTTTTTTTTGTTTTACTAAAATACAAAAAATCTTGTTTACAAATGACAATGCAGCGTCAGACGTCCCTCATGACCAACACACTAGTTTCACAATTTTATTTATTTAAACCAAACATCCCAACTCCCCGGGTGTGTCCCAGTTCTGAATTTAAAAAATCTGGTCACCCTCTCAAAATCACAACTTGAAAAGACCATAAATTTAAAGTTGCACTATGTAACTTTGTCAGGAATGTTCCACAATATAGCTTTAAACTTATTTTGTGTCCTGCTCTTGTACATTTATATCATGTTTATATCTTGTGGGCGGAGCTTTGTACGGACTCATACTGCTAAGCGTAAAGGAGGGTCCTGGAGAGATCCCTAGATTGCTCAAACATGCACGGATGACTTTAAAGCCTCTTCAGACATGTTTGTGATGAGGGAACGGCATTAAAACACGGAAGAAAGCTCTGAAAAGTCTTTAATGCCGAACTGTGAAACATTCCAGGCAGAGCGACATTAATCCCCCTCCTCCTGAAAGTTACAGAGTGCGTCTTTAATCTCAGAACCTCCTGCGAACGGTGACACTGAAAATTACAGGAGGAAACTAAAGCAGGAAATGAGCGTCTTCTTCCAGCTGCGCTAATGACGACAATTAGAGCGATGTTGTTGTTATCCGACTATATTTAGCTCCGAGAAGAAAAAAAACTTCCTCTGGTTTTAGTCTCAGAAAAGATGTAAAAATGTAAAATAATTCTCCAGATTTAAGCCTAAAGTGCATATGACAGGTTTTATTGTGTTTCTAACTCTGACTTGTTTTGGTGGATACTTCCTGTGGTCAATATTTATCTTAATTTTACATAATAAAAATAGAAATATGTGTGAAAATATATCAGTGAAAACTCAAAATACAGAGACAATTTACACACAAGAAGGACTTTTTCTGACTCTTTAAACCAGGGATGGGCAGTTATTTTTCCATGGAGCCACATGAGAAACAGAAAATATTGTGGACTCCCAGACTTCCCTCACCCCAGACACTTCCTCCAGCTCCACCAGGGGGACCTCGAGATGTTCCCAGGCCAGTCCAGAGACACATGCTGCGTTCAGACTGCAGCCTGAAGTGACACAAATCAGATTTTTTGTCTCTATGTTCCTGTATCTGATCTTTTAATGACGTCTGAACCACACAGATCCAGGACACTTGGATATTTGCTCCTGAAACCGATACATATCTGATCTTTTGACATGTGACTTCAGTCTGAACGGCCAAAGCTCATTCATCCACCTACACGTCATTAACAAGCGACAAACGTCACTATTCTGCGTTGAAGCAGGCGAACTGTAAAATCTCCAGGTGCTCGATGCTGCGTCCATGTTTGGACAACTTCTGTAAACACACACACGCTCGCTGCGGTTGACGCATGGGGTTGACGTCGTCGTGTCTCCAGTCACATGTGGGACACTTTCGGGCCGTTTACCTTCACACTGAAGTCACAGACAAGTCGCATTTAATTGGAAATGTGAACGACCTCGCAAAAACATCAGATTTCACAAAAAAATCAGAATTGAGCGTTAAGCCCTGCAGTCTGAACGTAGACTTAGTCCCTCCAGTGTGTCCTGGGTTTTCCCTGGGCCTCCTCCTTCTTTCTGGAGGAGTTCAAGTCTGTCGGGGTCTTGTTCTGGATTTACCGGTCAGTCTTCGTTCTTCCCCTCACCTCTAGTCATGAGCTCTGGTCATGATGCGAAGGACCAGATCCACGATACAAGCGACACAGATGAGTTTCCTCCGCAGGCGTCTCCCTCAGAGACAGAGTGAGGAGCTCGGAGTAGAGCCGCTGCTCCTCCACGTGGAGAGGAGCAGTTGAGGTTCTGATGTGTCCTGAGCGTGTCCCTCAGGAGGTGTTCATGTCCCACCAGGAGGAGGCCCCGGGTGGAGGACAAAATGCTGAACTCAATTCTGAATCATATTAATTATATTTGTTCATAAAAATCAGTAAATCTCATTGTTCTGACTAAACAATGAAAAAGTGAGACTGACAAACAAAAGATCACTTTAAAAAAGTAATTTAAAAACACCTCTAAAGTAAAAGCAATGCAGCTTTAGTCCAGGCATGAGGTAAAATTAGAAAATATTTCATTTTGTAATTCCAAATGATCTTAAACGAGTCGGTCAGAGTCGACCAAACGACTGGATGTGGCCCCAGACTGTTGCTGTTTATTTTTATTAGTCTAATCAGAACTAATGTGCAACACTTTTTGACCCTTGTTTTTTACATTTTGGTTGCTAAGTCTCCTGCCTGTCTCCAACCAGGAAGTAAAATAATAAACATTTCCAAAATTAGAAATGAGAAAATAAAACAATTCCTAATTTTTTGTTAAATTAAAAGTATAATTGACAGTTTTAAGGTTTTACTCTGAGCTGACTTATGCACTTTAGGTTATAGACTTTAGTATTTCTGACATTTTAAAGTGTTTTTGTCCATAATTATTTTGTCTTCATTAACGAGTCGTTGTTTCATTCTTCATCGCTCCTTGCTTTTTTTTTTTTTTTTTTTTTCAAATGCAGAAAAAGAGATTTAAACAGAAAATGTGCTACTGTTGGTAAGACGTCGTGGGTTTGTCCTGTCACAGTCTTGAGTTTGTCACTGCAACTTCACCGTCCAGTTTAACGCAGCTGCGGTCGACTAAATCTGACTTCAGTCCACGAGCACCGAAGAAAAATAAACTTAAACTTTGTCGATGTTTCAAGTTTAAGTTTATTTTTGTAATTTTATCGTACACAACTTTATTAATTAATGCAACGTCACAGATTTAATGTTTAATTTGCCTGTTTGGATCTTATCTTTCTATTTCTAAACCGATGAAAATACTAACACACTAACAGCTTTAAAGCTGCACTGTGGAACTTTTCTGCTGAGGTTATTAAACATGTGCGAGCGCGGCCGCCTCTCCACAGATCTGACCTGTAAAGCAACAACCCCACGAGAAAAAGTCCACAGTGCAGCTTTAAATTAAAGTTATGAGTTTTACACCGAACGTCTCACAAAACCTCTCGACCGGACCAGGACTAGACCAGGACTAGACCAGGACTAGACCAGGACCAGACCAGGACTAGACCAGGACTAGACCAGGACCAGACCAGGACTAGACCAGGACTAGACCAGGACTAGACCAGGACTAGACCAGGACCAGACCAGGACTACACCAGGACTAGACCAGGACTAGACCAGGACTAGACCAGGACTAGACCAGGACTAGACCAGGACTAGACCAGGACTAGACCAGGACTAGACCAGGACTAGACAGGACTAGGACTACCAGGACCAGACCAGGACCAGACCAGGACTACTAGACCAGGACTAGACACTAGACCAGGACTAGACCACTACACCAGACCAACCAGGACCAGACCAGGACCAGACCAGACCAGACCAGGACTACACCAGGACTAGACCAGGACTAGACCAGGACCAGACCAGACCAGACCAGGACCATAGACCAGGACTAGACCAGGACTAGACAGGACTAGACCAGGACTAGACCAAGAACTAGACACCAGGACCAGACCAGGACCAGACCAGACCAGACCAGACCAGGACTACACCAGGACTAGACCAGGACCAGACCAGACCTAGACCAGGACCAGACCAGGACTAGACCAGGACTACACCAGACTAGACCAGGACCAGACCAGGACTAGACCAGGACTAGACCAGGACCAGACCAGGACCAGACCAGGACCAGACCAGGGACTAGACCAGGACTAGACCAGGACTAGACTAGACAGGACTAGACCAGACTAGACCAAGACTAGACCAGACTAGACCAGGACTAGACCAGGACCAGACCAGGACTAGACCAGGACCAGACCAGGACTAGACCAGGACCAGACCAGGACTAGACCAGGACCAGACCAGGACTAGACCAGGACCAGACCAGGACTACACCAGGACCAGACCAGGACTAGACCAGGACCAGACCAGGATTAGACCACGATTAGATCAAAATTAGACCAAGACTAGACCCAGAATAGACCAGGAACAGACCAATATTACGCCAGGACTACACTAGTCCTGACTAGACCAGGACTAGACCAGGACTAGACCAGGACTGCACCAGAACTAGATGAGAAGTAGACCAGAACTAGACCAGGACTAGGCTAGGACTAGACCAGGACTAGACCAGGACTAAACCAGGACTAAACCAGGACTAGACCAAGAATTAAACCAGGATTGAAACGTGGCTAAAGCTGAACTAGACCAGAATCAGACCTCATACTGAACCTGTACTGAACCAGGACAAGACCAAGAACTAAACCAGGACTTAAGCAAGACTAGACCACTAAACCAGACTTAAGCAAGACTAGACTAGACCTAAACCAGACTGACCCAGGACTGAACCAGGACTAAACCAGGACTGAACCAGGACTGAACCAGGACTAAACCAGGACTAAACCAGGACTAGACAGAGGCAGGACAAGACGAGGAGGGACCAACATTAGAACATGAACCTCACCAGATTCACTACACAAGTTACATTAAGTTTAGAAAATAAAACGTTGAACAAAAGTGAAGTTGTTTTTATGTTTGTCGTGATTTTTTTGTTGATTTCTTTGTGTTTTTCAGGAGGAAATCGAGACGCAGAAGCAGCAGCACGAGGCCAGAGTCATGTCCATCAGAACCGAGGAGAAACAGAAGATGGACAAGATGGCCGACGACCTGGACCAGAAGTGGAGAGACGCACTCAGGTCACTGAAAAATATAAACTAAACATCACCTGTGCTTGTTTTGAATTCCACCTTCTTGTCTGTGTGGAAATGCTGCTGCTTTGTCTGAAATGTCCCACAGTGCGGCATTAAACATGTCTGTATCCACGGAGACGAGCTGGTGTCCAAACCGACTCCACCCACTTTAACATAAATGATTTTTGGAGAATAAAAACACGTTTAAAGGTTCTATGTTACGTAAAACTGACTCTTGTGAAGCTTTAAGTCGTGTTCTAATGTTTCCTCGTCAAAAACAGCTGGACTTGTGTTTTGTTTCATTCACATGTTTTATTAACTCTTTATTATTCGTCTGTCTACATCTCCAAAGCTCTAAATGCTCCGTTCCACCTTGTGATGTCACATAGTAGTCGCTCCTTTTCCCTTTAGTTCAGTAGAGATCAGCACTGACTCCATCAACCCCAGGACTGAAATCATCTCAGGGTCTTGTTCTGAGTGAGACTGACAGGTGGACAGGTGGACAGGTGCAGCGTGAGATTGACAGGTGGACAGGTGCAGCGTGAGATTGACAGGTGGACAGGTGCAGCGTGAGATTGACAGGTGGACAGGTGCAGCGTGAGATTGACAGGTGGACAGGTGGACAGGTGCAGCGTGAGATTGACAGGTGGACAGGTGCAGCGTGAGATTGACAGGTGGTGAACAGGTGGACAGGTGCAGCGGTGAGATTGACAGGTGCAGACAGGTGGACAGGTGCAGGTGAGATTGACAGGTGGAGGTGCAGCAGGTGCAGCGTGAGATTGACAGGTGCAAGTGATGTGGTCGCTGTATCGGACTGTTGTTTTGAAGAGGAGCTGAGTCTGGATTTATTGTCAGTCTCCGTTCCTCCCCTCACCTCTGGTCATGACCCGAAGGACCAGATCCACGATACAAACGACACAGATGAGTTTCCTCCACAGGCGTCCGGGCGTCTCCCTCAGAGACAGAGTGAGGAGCTCGGAGTAGAGCCGCTGCTCCTCCACGTGGAGAGGAGCGTCTGAGGGGAGGACGTCTGTTCTGACGTCTCCTGGACGTGTCCCTCAGGAGGTGTTCATGTCCCAGCAGCAGGAGGAGGAGGAGCCAGGACACTGGAGGAACAACTGTACCGTCCAGACGATTAGTCGCTCTGGATTATAAGACTCACTGTCATTAAACGGTCTATTTTCGATCTTTTTTCACAAATAAACCTTGTGCGATTTTAAAGGAAACCCAACAGTGTGATGGGTGAGTGGTTTTGTTTGTTTGTTCGTTCACGGTGACTCTGGGTGTGTTCAGTTGTGGCGTGTAGGGAGTAGTGTCTGTCGCTGGATCGTCGTCGTGTTCAGTGACTCAGTTGTTCAGTTGTGGCGTGTAGGGAGTAGTGTCTGTCGCTGGATCGTCGTCGTGTTCAGTGACTCAGTTGTCAGTCAGTCGTTGTCAGTCGTGTCTAGAAGCGGCACGTTGCACTCGTGGCTTTTTCGGTTCGTTCCTCCGTTCCGTTCCTCACATTTTTAGCTCTTTTTATTGTAAACGCTATAATCACCCGCAACAACAGATTAACATGTTTTATAAGTTTCGGTTTTGCTGCTAAGTCGCTCCCCCTTCAGAGCGCCATCACAACACAATCACCGCGCGTCCCTCTAACGAAACTACTGCGGTTTTCTGTCACGTTTTTGTATTATTCATGGAGAAATTTCATGTTTACCGTCGTATTTATGGAGAAATCTCGTACAGAGAGATCGCTAGATTACTCAAACACACGTGGATGTCTCTAAAACCTCTTCAGACATGTTTTTTTTAGACGATGGAATGTTAAAACATGGGAGAAAGCTCCAAAAATACCCCGTCTTTAAGCACAGTTCTCCATTCATCTCGACAGAAATTCTAATCTTGGTAAACGGAATTTCAGTTTTGTCCGTCGTTATCGGTCATTTTTTACATTTTAAAACTTTCGTGTAGGGAGGGTGTGTCTGGGACCAACGGATTGTCGTCGTGTTCGCAGTGACTCAGTTGTTCAGTCGTGTCTAGAAGCGGCACATTGGACTCGTGGTTTTTCCGGTTCGTTCCTCGTCGGCGTGGAGTGATGAGTGTGTGTGTGTGTTTCGTTGTGCGGTCGCTGTCTGCTCCGTGTGTGTTTGTGGCTTTGTAGTTTACTGAAGTCGTACTGGGACACCCGAGTGGATTCGTGTATGGGGCGCTCTGGATTGTGGTGTTCAGTCGTTTTTTGATGCGGTTAGAGGCGTCTAATGACCCAGAAAATACGGTACGTCTCTGGACTGGCCTGGGAACACCTCAGGTCCCCCTGGAGGAGCTGGAGGAAGTGTCTGGGGTGAGGGAAGTCCGGGAGTCCCTGCTCAGACTGACGCCCCCGAGACCCGACGGGGGAGAAGAGGAAGAACACGGATGGACGATTGTAGTGAAGGTGTGTGGAGTTTAAAAACACGGTGGAGCACCTCATGGAACACCGCATGACATCACAAGGTGGAACAGAGTTTTTGAGAGAAGAGGTCAGTCCACAATGTGCAGGTTTGTGTGTTAAACATGTGAATGAAACAAAAAAACACAACTCCAGGTCTGGAAACATTAGAACAGATCAGAAAACAGTGTCACATGAAAACTTTTAGTTAAATGGAAAATGGATACGGTTAAAGCTTTATTGTGGAATATTCTAAGCAAAGTGCAGTGCGTCATTTAAATAAAAACTTGACTCTTGTGTTGTTGTCGTGGTCGTGGTCGTCGTGGTCGTCGGTCGCGGTCGTCAGGGAGGAGGTGCGTCTGCTCAGAGACGAGCTGAACGAGGAGTATGAGGCCGACAAACAGGCGGCGCTGAACCAACTGTCCCAGCAGAAAGAACTGGAGCTGATGGCGGCGCGGGAGTCATGGCAACGGAAGGTGGAAGATCTACTGGAACAGGTAACGGGACCAGACCAGGACTAGGACCAGACCGGGACCAGGACCGGGACTAAACCAGGACCAGGACTAGACCAGGACCAGGACCAGGACCGGACCAGACCAGACCGGGACTAAACCAGGACCAGGACCGGGACTAGACCAGGACCGGGACTAGACCAGGACCAGGACCAGACCGGACCAGGACCGGACCGGGACCGGGACCTAGACCAGGACCGGACTAGACCAGGACCAGGACTAGACCGGGACCAGGACCGGGACCGGGACTAGACCGGGACCAGGACCGGGACCGGGACCAGGACTAGACCGGGACCAGGACCGGGACCGGGACTAGACCGGGACCAGGACCGGGACCAGGACTAGACCGGGACCGGGACTAGACCGGGACCGGGACTAGACCGGGACCAGGACGGGACGGGACTAGACCGGGACCACCGGGACCGGGACTAGACCGGGACCGGGACTAGACCGGGACCGGGACTAGACCGGGACCAGGACCGGGACCAAGACCGGGACTAGACCGGGACCAGGACCGGGACCGGGACTAGACCGGGACCGGGACCAGGACTGGGACTAGACCAGGACTAAACCAGGACCGGGACCAGGACTAGACCGGGACCGGGACCAGGACCAGGACTGGGACCAGGACCAAACCGGGACCGGGACCAGGACCAGGACCAGGACCAGGGCCAGGACCGGGACTAAACCAGGACCGGGACCAGGACCGGGACTAAACCAGGACCGGGACCAGGACCGGGACTGGACCGGGACCGGGACTGGACCAGGACTGGGACCAGGACCGGGACTAGACCGGGACCAGGACCAGAACCAGGACCAGGACTAAACCAGGACCAGGACCGGGACCAGGACCAGGACCAGGACCTGGACCAGGGCGAGGACCGGGACCAGGAACAGGACCAGGAACAGGGCCAGGACCAGGACCAGGACCGGACCGGGATGAGGAGGAGACAAGGATGAGACCAGGGCCAGGACCAGGACCAGACCTGGATTAAAATGGGAATAAACCAGAACTAAACCACCGACTGAACCAGGACTAGACCAGGAATTAAACCAGAGACTAAACCTGGACTAAAGTAGGACTAGACCAGGAGGAAAACAGGACTAGACTAAAAAATAAACCAGAACTTATACAAAAGTAGACCTAGGACTAAATAAGAGACTAAACCTGCACTAAAGTAGGACTAGACCTGGACTAGACCAGGTTTAAACCAGTGACTATTGCAGGACTTGGACCAAGAAGAAAACCAGGATTAAAGCAGAACTAGACTGAGAACTAAACGAAGGACTAAACCTGGACTAAACGAAGGACTAAACCTGGACTAAACGAAGGACTAAACCTGGACTAAACGAAGGACTAAACCTGGACTAAACGAAGGACTAAACCTGGACTAAACAAAGGACTAAACAAAGGACTAAAGTGAGACTAAACCTGGACTAAACAAAGGACTAAAGTGAGACTAAACCTGGACTAAACGAAAGACTAAACCTGGACTAAACGAAGGACTAAACCTGGACTAAACGAAGGACTAAACCTGGACTAAACCTGGACTAAACCTGAACTAAACCTGGACTAAACCTGGACTAAACCTGGACTAAACCTGGACTAACTACTAAACCTAAACGAAGGACTAAACCTGGACTAAACGAAGGACTAAACCTGGACTAAACCTGGACTAAACCTGAACTAAACGAAGGACTAAACTAAACTGACTAAACGACTAAATCTGGACTAAACCGAGGCTGAACCAGGATTAAATCGAGTTAATTTAAGTTTGTACGAATGATTTTGATGAATAATAACAACAGTCCAGTCGTTGAAGTCGTTTATTTTATCGTTTCACACAAAACGCTGCAGTAAAATAAACATCTTAACTGGTTTTGTTTGATTCTGGAGACGTCGGCTCTCGTCAGGTCCAGTTTGTCGTTTCAGTCCAGACTCGGACTCATGAATAACGGATGTTTGTGCTCCTGACCTCGTCCCACGTCCGAATCCCGCGACGTGTTTGGTTTTTATTTTGAGACGGGAGCTCGTAAATAAAACACACAGCTACAGTGATCAGATAAAACCAGAATCAGGTTCTGGGTTTTTGTTTAAACGTGTGAAAGAAAAATCTGAACTTTAAAAACTGTGAATCGATCGATAAATGTAACGGTTTTATTTTATTTGTGAGTCGAAGCACGAGACTTTAAACTGACTCATTATTATTACAGAAAATCCACTTTTTGGAGCTTTGTCCCCAGAAACCAAACCAGGACTAAACCAGGACTAAACCAGGACTAAACCAGGACTAAACCAAGGACTAAACCAGGACTAAACCAAGGACTAAACCAGGACTAAACAGGACTAAACCAGGACTAAACCAAGGACTAAACCAGGACTAAACCAGGACTAAACCAGGACTAAACCAAGGACTAAACCAGGACTAAACAGGACTAAACCAGGATAAACCAAGACTAAACCAGGACTAAACCAGGGACTAAACCAGGACTAAACCAGGACTAAACCAAGGACTAAACCAGGACTAAACCAGGACTAAACCAGGACTAAACCAAGGACTAAACCAGGACTAAAGGACTAAACCAGGACTAAACCAAGGACTAAACCAGGACTAAACCAGGACTAAAACCAGGACTAAACAAAGGACTAAACCAGGACTAAACCAGGACTAAACCAAGGACTAAACAGGACTAAACCAGGACTAAACCAGGACTAAACCAAGGACTAAACCAGGACTAAACCAGGACTAAACCAGGACTAAACCAAGGACTAAACCAGGACTAAACCAGGACTAAACCAAGGACTAAACCAGGACTAAACCAGGACTAAACCAGGACTAAACCAGACTAAACCAAGACTAAACCAGAAGGGATCTTAAACCAAGACTAAAGGAGAAGCTAAACCAGGACTTAAATCAGGACTAAACCAAAGGATAAACCAGGATTAAAAGAGGACTAAACCAGGACTAAACCAGAAGATAAACTAGGACTAAACCAAGACTAAACCAGAAGTTAAACCAGGATTTAAACCAGGATTAAACCAAAGGATAAACCAGGACTAAACCAGGACTAAACCAGGACCTAAAACAGGACCTAAACCAGGACTAAACCAGTAGCTAAACCTTGACTAAATCAAGACTAAACCAGGACTAAACCAGAAGTTAACCCAGGTGGAGTTGGATCATCTGGATTGGATCATTATTTTTAAGAAGAATAAACGTGAAACATGATCCAGGAATAAATAAATTCACCTTTAAAATCAGAATAAACGCCCCACTTACTTCAGAATTAAATTTAATTCCAAATCATCTTCATTAGAAATCAAGTGTTTACCTTGTCTTTTTAAAACAGAATTAATTTTTAATCAGAATTAATTTTTATTTTATTTTTTTATTTATAATTTGTCAAGTTTAAGGGATTGGACACCAGCACATCCACAACAAGACAGACTTAACTAAACACGCATACAGAAAAAAAAAATAAATAAAATAAAAAATAAAAAATAAATAAATAAATCATAATAATAATAATAATAATAATAATAATAATAATAAAAGAAAGCGGAGGTTAGGGAGTGTGGGAGGGGAATTAAATTATTTTTATTTGTAATTAAAGCTCTTCTGTCTCTTGTTCTGTTTAGCTCCAGATTTGTTCTAAACATTCAGGGAAAATTCTGCTCTGTGGGACGTTTTTCGAATCAAGTAATGAGGATCTAGTTTCGATACTGGTTTTAAAATGGATTATTGTCTGATTTTCGATACTTTTGACAACAACAAAATGTCCGACACAAGAAGGAGACTGAAGAAAATAAAAAAGTATGTGACATTTTCCTGTTTCCACTCGTCCCTGAGCCCCAAGACTCAACGGATTTAATTTCAGATTATTAAAGTCAAACTGCAATTAAGATTATCCTGAAATAACAGACGTTTCCCCCGAGAGTCTCGAACAAAATGTTTTTATTATTCACAGTTTAAGAATCACCAGAGACAAAACAGAACGAAATAAAAATATTATATTGTGATCATAAAAAAAGTTAAAATGATCAGTTATTTTGTTTTCTGGAGCTGAATTTATCCGTTTTTTATGCCTGATGCCCTCCCAGTTTAGAGCCGGAGAGGACTAAACCAGGTCTAAACCAGGTCTAAACCAGGACTAAACCAGGACTAAACCAGGACTAAACCAGGTCTAAACCAGGTCTAAACCAGGTCTAAACCAGGTCTAAACCAGGTCTAAACCAGGTCTAAACCAGGACTAAACCAGGTCTAAACCAGGTCTAAACCAGGTCTAAACCAGGTCTAAACCAGTCTAAACTCAAACCAGGTCTAAACCAGGTCTAAACCAGTAAACTAAACCAGGTCTAAACCAGGTAAACCAGGACTAAACCAGGACTAAACCAGCTAAACAGTCCAGGTCTAAACCAGGTCTAAAGGTCTAAACCAGGTCTAAACCAGGACTAAACCAGGACTAAACCAAACCAGGTCTAAACCAGTAAACAGGTCTAAACCAGGACTAAACCAGGAAACCAGGTCTAAACCAGGTCTAAACCAGGTCTAAACCAGGACTAAACCAGGACTAAACCAGGTAAACTAAACCAGGTCTAAACCAGGTAAACCAGGTCTAAACCAGGACTAAACCAGGTCTAAACCAGGTCTAAACCAGGTCTAAACCAGGACTAAACCAGGTCTAAACCAGGTCTAAACCAGGTCTAAACCAGGACTAAACCAGGACTAAACCAGGACTAAACCAGGTCTAAACCAGGACTAAACCAGGTCTAAACCAGGTCTAAACCAGGACTAATCACAGTCTAAACAGAGACCAAACCAGGAATAAACCAGGTCTAAATCAGGTCTAAACTGGGACTGAACCAGGACTAAACCAGGACCTAAACTAAGACCTAAACCAGGACTAAACCAGACCCTAACCGAAGATGTAAACCAGACCTAAACCAGAACTAAACAAGGTCTAAACCAGGACCTAAACCAAGACTTAAACCAGATCTAAACCAGGACTTAAACCAGGTTGAAAAGAGGATTAAACCAGACCCTAAACCAGACCTAAACCAGGACTAAACCAGACCCTAAACCAAGACTTAAACCAGATTTAAACCAGGACTTAAATCAGACCTAAACAGGACTAAACCAGGACTAAACCAGGACTAAACCAGGTCTAAACCAGACCCTAAACCAGATCCTAAACCAGGACTTAAACCAGACTCTAAACCAGATCTAAACCAGGACTAAACCAGGTCTAAACCAGACCCTAAACCAGGACTTAAACCAGACTCTAAACCAGATCTAAACCAGGACTAAACCAGGTCTAAACCAGACCCTAAACCAAGACTTAAACCAGACTCTAAACCAGTACTAAACCAGGACTAAACCAGGACCTAAATTAAGACCTAAACCAGGACTAAACCAGACCTAAACCAAGATTTAAACCAGATCTAAACCAGGACTTAAATCAGACCTAAACAGGACTAAACTAGGACTAAACCAGGACTAAACCAGGACTAAACCAGGGTCTAAACCAGGGTCTAAACCAGGACTTAAACCAGGACTAAAACCAGACTTAAACCTGGTCTAAACTGGGTCTAAAGTGTTTCTTCTTTCAGATCTCGTTGTTGAAACAGTCTCTGGAGCTTCAGTTGTCTCAGTCTCAGGCGGCGCTGCAGCAGCTGCAGTCTCAGTTCAGCCAGGAGAGGGAGCTCCTCACGCAGCAGCTCAAAGGTACAAACACAGACCAACAGTCCACCAGGGGTTTCTCTTTCTGCTCTCTCAAACCAGGACCAAAACTTTTACAGCTCTAAAGTCAAATATAAAACCTTCAAACCAGAATCTGAACCAGGACCAAGAAAAGAGCTAAAAACAGTACAGATTCATGGTATCAGCAGCTCTTGAGTTAAAATAAATCCACTGTGAACTGTTTCAATCTCATTATAAAGAGTTTGACTGTCTGGAAATCAGGAAGTGTGCAGTTAGCATGCTAGAGCTCCACTCTGGTCTCTGAAAGTTGTGAAAAACTCTTAAAAACTCATCTTTATGAATAATTCGGAGGCTCTGAATGCAGGAGGGAAGTGAGGTTTACTGTGAACTCGTTTAGTTTTTCGCGTTTTCATCACAGTAAAAATCACGTCCAGCGTTTTTAAGATTAAAGTTTGAGCCTTTTTTTCGAGCCGTGTTTGTGTTTTTCAGAGATGCAGCGGGAGCACCAGAGGAGAGAGCATCGTTTACAGGAGGCTCACTGCTGCGCCCTGAGCACCATGGAGGAGGCCCGGCAGCACCAGATCAGGGTAAAACTCACCAAACATTTCAATATACCAAAGGTCAACGTGCAGAGGACAGGTTCTCGTTTCGTTTCATTATTTTAAAGAGACTAAAAAACTGTTTTCTGACACTTTTTAGTATTTCTACTTTCAGGGTTCCTGCAGTGTCTTAAAAAGTCTTATGAATTTGGAAGTAATACCTTAAAGGTTGTATGGAGGATTTTTGTTTTGTTTCAAACTGTCAGTGAAAGATTAAAATACCATTACAGAGACGCAGCAGCTTTGTAATTATGATGACCAAAAAAAAAAGAACAAAAATCTATCAACTGTGGACGTGTTGAGGCCAGATAAACATCAGCCAATAGAAAACGAGGCTCCCTCATTTTCTATTGGCTGTTAGGTTGTCAATCAAACTCCCTAGTGTAACTGACTCGTCGGAGCGTGGGGATTACGTGGTTTACGCGGCGGTTCTTAGAGGCTTTTTCGAACTGTCGCTTCCTCGCATTTCGCACAAAGTTTGTCGCGACGGCGGACGAGAATCCACGACCGGTTCGCCGCAAAAGAAAGTCGGTTTTTGAGGTCGCTGAAAGAAGAAGAGAAGAGGAAAAGTAGCAAAGCCAAACTGAGGTGATTCTTGGAGATCTCGTCCAGCGATGGCGCGACCGAAGCAGACGAAGGGTCTAAAACCTGACGCGTCGGTCGCTGAATTACTTCTAGACAGGAAACTTCAACAGTGATTCTGAACGCGCACAAGGACTGTCGCTGTATTTCTCTTCCCTTAAAAAAATCCTCTATACAACCTTTAACTCTTTCCCCCTGACGCCGACTAGGAACAACCCAGACGTGTGTTACTAGAGCTACACCCATAGAGCATCACTGCATAAAAGAAAACACACTTCCAGCAGTGATTATAAATTAATTTTACACTCATGAACTTAATTGTAACACAGACATATTTGTATCTCTGGAAACTTTAGACTCTGAACTCTTCATTTCTGGATGTTTAAATGTGATTCAACTCATTTATAGGTGTATAACAGCTCACTGAAAATGACAGTTTACCTGGTCAGGTGCAAAATCCAAAACAAAAAACTACATTCAGCATCTGATATCTGCATGTTCTGAGAACTAGATTCATAAAAAAATAAAAATATACTTTGTCAAAGTATTTAAACAGATTTCATATCAGCAGATACAGTAAAGCCAAGTGTTCACCTGTTTTTACCTGTTGTTCACCTGTGTGCACCTAATTCATTTTTTTCCATTTAACTTATTCAACTTATTTTATTTATTCAACTAATTTATCTTATTATAATATAATAATATAATAATAAAACTCTTCCCTGTCAGTGTGTGTTCAGTATTTGTCATCTTGGTTATTTTCTCGTGTGCAGAGCTCCACATAAGTGTTTTTTCTGTAGTGATTCTGTTATACGTCGCATCTTGGAAAAAAAGACTGAAATATTTCAAAGGACTCGTCTGAGCAACATCCAGATTTCAGGGCAGTTTTGGTTCATAATCGAGTATAAAGCTCAGATAGTTTGTTGGGACATCGCAGGACTCCACACAGACGCATCAGTGGCATTCTCATCTTCTCCCCGAAAGTCCGTCGCTGTCGCTGTTTTCCACTTTATAATCAACTTCAACATCATCACTTTGAAATCTATAAAAGTCACTTTCTCTAAACTTATCCATAAAACACGTCCGCTCCTCATTATTTCTAAAACTGTGCAGCGCCGCCATCTTTCCATTGCTCGTGTTTCGTGTTGTGTTTTTTCCGGAAGCTCCATCGTCACTATTTCGATTAACTTCAGAAAAAATCGGCGAAAACATGTCCTTGAATCCTATTGGTCAGTCTAGTGTGGGTTGTAGTGGCCCCGACCTGTCGCAGTCTCTGTTAAATGTGAAAAACCGAGTCGTTTCTAATGTTCGTCAAATCTCGTCTTTAGTGAAACAGCGGAGGAGACAGAAGTCGTCATTAAAGGTTGTATGGAAGATTTTCCAATGAAAGAGAAATGCGGTGACAGTTTTTCAAATGTTCGCTCCTCTTCCCCTTCTCTTCTTCTTTCAGCGATGTCAAAAACAGACTTTCTTTTGCAGCCAACTGGTGGTGGATTCTCGTCCGCCGTTACAACACACTTTGTGCAAACTGAGACGAAGCTACAGTTCCAGAAAGACGCTAAGAACCGCTGTTTTGGTCGAGTAAACAGCATCAGTGCGTGAGAGACAAACGTAAACCACGTAATCCCCGCACGCCGGCAAGTCGGTGACGCTAGAAATGTAAGGAGTTTGGTTGACAACCCAACAACCAATAGATAAAGAGGCAGCCTTGTTATCTATTGGTTCATGTTTATCTGCCCCCACCACGTCCACAGCTGATAGATTTTCATTCTTTTTTTTTTTGGTCATCATAATTACAAGGCTGCTGCATCTCTACAATTCTATTTTGAACTTTCATCGACAATTTGAAACAAAAAAAAAATCCTCCATACAACCTTTAAGGAAACAGGGGTCGTCAAATGTCGTCTTCATGGGGGAAAGAGTTAAAGAGACTTGAAAAAGGTTTAATTTTTTTATATATTTGGGTCTTAAAATGTGTGCAGTATGTAACTTCTCTGCATCACATTTCTCCTCAAAGGTTTAATTTGTCAACCATCGTTATTTGGTTAAATAAAGAGCGACGGAACCAATAACCGGGTCAGAATCCTCCGAACACGTCACTGAAGATCAGGAACAAACTAAACAGAAGCGGAAAATCAAACTAAATCTCAACAGAAAACAACATTTCATTAATTAAGTTTTGATTAAATTATGTTGTTTTTTTAACGTTGGTTTTACGCCACATACAGACTAAACCAGGTCTAAACCAGGACTAAACCAGGTCTAAACCAGGACTAAACCAGTAAACCAGACTAAACAGGACTAAACAGGACTAAACCAGTAAACCAGGACTAAACCAGGACTAAACCAGGTCTAAACCAGGTCTAAAACCAGGACTAACCAGGACTAAACCAGGACTAAACCAGGTCTAAACCAGGACTAAACCAGGACTAAACCAGGTCTAAACCAGGTCTAAACCAGGACTAAACCAGGACTAAAACAGGACTAAACCAGGTCTAAACCAGGACTAAACCAGGTCTAACCAGGACTAAACCAGGTCTAAACCAGGTCTAAACCAGGTACTAAACCAGGACTAAACCAGGACTAAACCAGGTCTAAACCAGGACTAAACCAGGACTAAACCAGGTCTAAACCAGGACTAAACCAGGTCTAAACCAGGTCTAAACCAGGTCTAAACCAGGACTAAACCAGGACTAAACCAGGACTAAACCAGGACTAAACCAGGTCTAAACCAGGTCTAAACCAGGACTAAACCAGGACTAAACCAGGACTAAACCAGGTCTAAACCAGGTCTAAACCAGGTCTAAACCAGGACTAAACCAGGTCTAAACCAGGTCTAAACCAGGTCTAAACCAGGACTAAACCAGGACTAAACCAGGTCTAAAACCAGGTCTAAACCAGGACTAAACCAGGACTAAAACAGGATTAAACCAGGACCAAACTAGGACCAAACTAGGACCAAACCAGGACTAAACCAGGACTAAACCAGGACTAAACCAGGATTAAACCAGGATTAAACCAGGATTAAACCAGGATTAAACCAGGACCAAACTAGGACAAATCTTGGACTAGAACTTGGAATCTGGAGCCGCCCCTGGGAGAACCTGAGCCTTGAGAACATGAGGTCTGCAAAACGCGATCGGGCGTCAGCTGCAGTGTTGCTCCGTGCGGCGTCGACTCTGCGCCGGTCGTTTGGCTCGCGGTCACATGACAGCGAGACCCGGCTGCTCTGTTTCACTCCCTGTGTTTGTGTGTGTGTTTGTTTGTGTGTGTGTGTGTGTGTGTGTGTGTGTGTGTGTGTTGTGTGTGTGTGGTTCAGGCGTTGGAGGAGCGTCTGAAGCAGGAGCAGAGGGAGGAGGTTCACGCTCTGAAGGAGGCTCACAGACGAACGCTCGACATCCTCAGACAACAGTCGGACCAGGAGCTGCAGACTCTTCGCTTCGAGCTGGAGGACGAGGGCAAAGCCAAACTGGGTCAGACACACCATCACAACTCTTATACACACGTAAAAAAAAAAAATCAGATATTAAAGACGGTCTAAGGTCGTTTTCACACCACTAGTTCGATTATTTGGTCGCACCAGGCAATAAAATTGTTATTATGTAGCAGATACACTCCAGTGTGTCGCGTTCACACCGGCAAACGAACCAAAACTGGTTCAATTGACGTGTCTCTGTTTCCCCGGTAAAACAGCGATACTCCAGTTATCAACACCGATGTTCCTGTTAAAACCACGGGCCGTCCTCATCTCAAATTATCACCATGAACTCATAAAACAGCAACATGTAGAACTTTGTACAAACTCACCGCATCAGCCCAGAGTTCGGGAAACAGCAGCAGCCAACAGCTCCTCAGGACGGGGCTGGGGTCTGGTCCTTGGTCTTCTGTCGTCCTACAAGCGTTGGTCAGATGGTCCGGAGGCTTCATCCTCCATGTGCTGGTTCCAAACGGTGGCGAGCAAAGACCAGTGCGCAATGACTGGGTCTGAGCGGGTACGTTCCGTCGTCTGCGCGCTGTTTCCGTGCGGGAAAAGCAAGAATGTTCTGTGGACTACAGGTCCAGGGCGCTGCTCTGGTTCTCCGCGCTCAAGAACCGTGGCTGGTTCCGAGGTGGTGCAGCATCCGGACAGAAGCGTGAGTCCAGTTTGGTTTGTTATATGTTGTTCTGAGCGTCCGTCCTCCGCGCATTTGGTTCTTCCCGGGGAAAGTTCTTCCTCAGGTCGAGGCTCCCCGCTCCAGCTCCTCTGAGCCCGGCCTGAACTGGACCTGCCCCCGCTGGTTCAGGACTCTGGTTTGGATCTAGTCCGACTGTATTTCTCACACTAGGCTAAAAACAGGGACTTTTTTAAGTTGTATCAATTGAATGGGCGATTGCCTATTGCCATGAAAATTATTTGGTTAATTAAAGCCTAAAATAACAAATGTTGGTTGCTGTGTGATCACGGGGAACACCGGGTCGTCTCTGTGCGTGTAGGTCCCCGAACAGGGGGACGCACCCCCAATTTTGACTCACTCTGGAGCCACACGTTCGCACACTGGTTCTTGCTCTGATCTTCGTGTGTTACATTCTCTGTATTGGCCATTGTTGGTAAAATAATTCGAAAATGAATCGCGGCTGCGTCTGGACAACAATCTGTTACTGCGCTGGAGTCGTACAGCGTCATTTCAGGCAGAGGAGACGCGTTTCCTCCCATGATGCATTTCGAATAGTCCGTTTGTTCATACTGTCTATGGTTTGGACCCGGGTTCACGTTCACACCAGAGGAACCGCACCAAAGTTGGTCATTTAGTGCGGATTCAAGCGAACCGAGACCACCTCTTTTTTGCGGTCTCGGTCGCTTGATTTGGTTCGGGTCCGAGTCCGATTGACGCTTTCACACCAACGCAAACGAACCGAACTAACCACTTCTGGTTCGAATGGACCGTTTGGTGCAACAAATACTGTCGGTGTGAAAACACCCTTAGAAGATCTGAACCAGGACTAAATCTGCTCTAAACCCTGTCGAAACCTGATTAATAATTTCACCTGTCCATCCATCCATTTATTAACTTTTCTTTTTCTTCTTCTGCAGCGTCTCTTCGCGCGGAGCTGAACCACATCCACGCGACGGCGATCGAGCATTTAAAACAGATCCACCTCAAAGAAAACTCGTCGGCCAAACGCGACCTGGAGAAGGCCATCGAGCACAGCAGGCAGCAGGTGACGCACGCCGCCGGGTTCAAGGCCACGTGTTCTGTCAAATCTATCGTGTTCTAACGTTTTTCCTCATCAAAAACACGTCTGAAGTGGATTTAAATGTTATCCAGGCGTGTTTGAGTAATTTAGCGATCTGTCCTCGGCCATATTCAAACCTTCTTTAGAGTTATTAGAGCTGGAGATCGTTCAGAAGTCGCCGATACGATAAATACCTTGATAGAGTGAGTTTATGATTCAGTACGGTCCAACAAAAAGTCTTTATTATTATTTATTTATTATTTTATTGGAGTATTAAATTTGACTCTCACAGAATCAGTTTTAACATTTTCTCAGGGGTTTATACAAGTTCAATCTGTTCTAGAGTTAATTTAACATTTTTTATAAATGTTCATTAAGTAACACTGGACCAAAGTTCCTGTTTAACCCTAAAAATCCAGAGTTATATTCATGTTTTGAGAGTAAACAGAAAACACTTTGTAGAGTTATTCTGATTTAGCCAAACAACACACAGAGGAGTTTTATTTTTACACTTTATTTGAGTTAATTTAAGATGAAATTATGAACAAAACTGGTTCAAACTGGTTCTACTCTGGCGGGAGTTTGAAGTGGAGGGTGAGAGGAGCTAAATTAACACTAGAACAAGTTGATTTAACACTAAGAGAAGTTGAATTCACTTCAGCCATATCAACTCCGGCAAATAACCCCAACTCAAACCCACATTTAACTTTTAAATTGTTAAAATAACACTTTTTGTGTTAAAAACAACTCTGACATTTTAACCCTCCAGTTTTTGTTGTGCAGTGAAAATGTCAAATGTGTCGCATAAACGAGTTTTTTTCCTCTAAACGAACAACAAAACTGGAGCTGTAACAAAATAATTTATTAAAATAAATCTAAAAATCCTCTTGGTGATATATCGATACAGCAGCTCACGATATCGATACTGAATCATCACATTAAACGATACGATATTTTGATATTTTTGCACAGCCCTAGCGTTTATATTTGTGCATTATCCTGATTCATGAGCCGGTTTCACTTGGTGGAAACCGTGTGACCTCGCAGCATTAGGATTCGTTCGCTCGACAGGAGGCGGGACTTTTTTTATTGAACCAATCGCTGCTGTTTGGTCGTGACGTTTGTTGTGCTCGAAATCCTGTAGGAAGAAGAACAATAACGTCTTTCCTCTTGATAAAATTCACCAAACTTTCTCTTTGTTTCGTTTGTTTAAATCCTCGGGAATCTGGAGAATCGTCGCCAACACAGAACGTCTTCGTCTTCGTCTACGTCCATCTCCACGCTTTGTTTACAAAATACACTGTCCTGTGATTTTTACCCCAAACCATGTTCACTAAAGTCATTTTTCACGGCCTTAACTCTGTTTACTGAAGGAATATTAATCATAACGTCGTGTAAAATCTTTAATATTTCCTTGATGAGTTGGTTTGACCCACTTCTGCTGCTGCTGCTGCTGTGTGGCCTCGTTACTCGTCTCTAATGACTTTTAATTTGACAGTTTCTCTCCACGGGGGCACAGCCTGGACTAGTTTTAGCCAAGTTACTTTTTAGAAACAATATCTGCAAAAAAGTTTAAAATCTCAAGGTCCACACAGGGCCAAAACTCCTCTAATGTACGCAGAAATTATGATTTGACAAATAAAATGATTAAAAAAACACCTTTATTTTGTTGAAATCATGTTTAAAATGTCATAAAAAGGTGTTTTTTTTGTAAATTGTGCTGAATTTCTGGACAGAATTATTTCAAGTGTCACAGAATTCTCCAATTTCTTTAATTTTTAGCATATTTTTACATTTTTCTTGATCGGTTTAAAACTGTGATTTATATTTCACCAAATTAAGTCAAAATTTTAGAATCATCAGAACTAATCTGAACAATCCCGTGTGTCGGTTCGTTCATTTGTTTTTCAAAATAAAACCAAAAATAAGAAAATGAAAAAAAATATATATGTATATATATATATATATATTTTTTTTTTCTTCATTATTTGTCTCCAAAACCAAAATGAAAAAAAACAGATAATGATTCTTTTTTTTTTTTTCAGTTTTCAATTTTGTTTTCAAATGAAAAATGGAAAAAAACAGACTGAACCAGGACTAAACCTTTTTCAGTCCTGCTCTGGTCCTGGTCTGGTTCCGGTCTCAGTCCTGGTCTCAGTCCCGGTCTGGTCTTGGTCTCAGTCCTGGTCTCAGTCCTGGTCCTGTTCCTGGTGTCAGTCCTGGTCTCAGTCCTGGTCTCTGGTCTCATCTGGTTTCAGTCCTGGTTCCTGGTGTCAGTCCTGGTTCAGTTTCCATTTTTCATTCACTCCATTTTTTCCATTTTTCATTTAAACACAAAATTGAAAACGGAAAAAATAAATCATTATCTGTTTTTTCATTTTCATTTTATTTTGAAAAACGACTGAACAAATGACACACAGATTCTTAACCCTAACTACTGTTTTTCCAGAGAAATACAGAAGATAAAATGATAAAAGAGTAATATTTAGATCTCGTTTGGCTCATTTTGTTTGCGTGTTTGTGTTTTGATTTTGTTTGTGTTTTGCTTTGTGTTTTGCGGCGCGGCAGGAGCAGGAGCTTTTGATGCGCATCTCCGAGCTCCAGTCCGAGGTCTGTTCCCGTAGCAACCGCATCACGGACCTGGACCACGAGATCCACTCCCTGAACGAGACCATCGACACTCTGACGCGAGAGCTCGAGCACAAGGGCAAAGAGGTGCTCCGGGTCCGCAGCGAAGCAAACCACCAGATCAGGTACAAATACACAAAAATATAACAACAAAACCACCAGATCAGGTACAAATACACAAAAATATAACAACAAAACCACCAGATCAGGTACAAATACACAAAAATATAACAACAAAACCACCAGATCAGGTACAAATACACAAAAATATAACAACAAAACCACCAGATCAGGTACAAATACACAAAAATATAACAACAAAACCACCAGATCAGGTACAAATACACAAAAATATAACAACAAAACCATCAGGTACAAATACAAAAAACAAAAAACCACCAGATCAGGTACAAATACACAAAAATATAACAACAAAACACCAAACCACAAAGATCAGGTACAAATACACAAAAACAAAAATCAGATCAGTACAAATACAAAAATATAACAACAAAACCACCAGATCAAGATACAAATACACAAAAATATAACAAAAAATCATAAACAAAAACAAAAAACCACCAGATCAGGTACAAATACACAAAAATATAACAACAAAACCACCAGATCAGGTACAAATACACAAAAATATAACAAAAATCAGGTACAAATACAAACAAAAAACAACAAAACACACAACAGATCAAGATACACAAATATAACACAAAAATCATACACAAAAAATATAACAAAAAACCACCAGATACAGATCAGTACAAATACAGATCGGTACAAATACGAAATACACAAAAAATATAACAACTAAACCACAAAATCAGGTTAAAGTATGAGAATGTATAAGAGACCAACCTCCAGATCAGATACAAATACAAAATATTATGACAACTAAACCCCCAAATCAGACAAATCTAATGAGAAACACTTGATGTTTCATCACTACATTCTGTACACCAGTGTGTCTCCTCTGGGAAACACTAAAGAGCCACTGGGGAGGAGTCACACACATGGACTGAACCAGGACTGAACCGGGACTAAACCAGGACTGAAACCGGACTGAACCAGGACTGAACCAGGACTGAACCAGGACTGAACCAGGACTGAGTGTCTGGACGGGCTGGAGGTGCGTCCGCATAGACCAGGAGTGTCCAAACTTTTTTCATCAAGGGTCACATATGTAAACACAGACGAAGCAGAGGGACGATCAATACAGGGAATAAGTGAAATATGTGCAGGTTTAACACGTTAACATGAACAACGACTGATGGATCTAAGATCCTTAAAACCACACACTACATATTAAATATTCACTTTATTAAGGTACATTTTCAAAAAAACTTTCAGTAAAAAGTTCATTTTTAATTGATACAAGGTAACTTGGGCCAATTCACCTGGAAGTCTGACGGCCATGAAAAATTTGTCTGAGGGCCGCATTTGGCCCACGGACCACAGTTTGGACCTGCCTGGCATAGACCATCAGGTGACCACAGGCGAAAGGACCAGTGTAGAACTGCACCCCCCACGGAGCTGAACGCACCTGCCGCCGATCACCCTCTTCCACAGGCTCGGGGTTCTCTCCCTTTAACTTAAGTCCAAGATTAGTCCTGGTTCAGTCCTGGTTTAGTCCTGGTTTAGTCCTGGTTTAGTCCTGGTTCAGTCCTGGTTCAGTCCTGGTTTAGTCCTGGTTCAGTCCTGGTTTAGTCCTGGTTTAGTCCTGGTTCAGTCCTGGTTCAGTCTGGTTCAGTCCTGGTTCAGTCCTGTTTTAGTCCTGGTTCAGTCCTGGTTCAGTCCTGGTTCAGTCCTGGTTCAGTCCTGGTTCAGTCCTGGTTTTAGTCCTGGTTCAGTCCTGGTTTAGTCCTGGTTTAGTCCTGGTTCAGTCCTGGAGTCCTGGTTCAGTCCTGGTTTAGTCCTGGTTCAGTCCTGTTTTAGTCCTGGATTAGGTTAGTCCTGGTTCAGTCCTGGTTTAGTCCTGTTTAGTCCTGGTTTAGTTCCTGTTTTAGTCCTGGTTCAGTCCTGGTTTTAGTCCTGGTCAGTCCTGTTCAGTCCTGTTCAGTCCTGGTTCAGTCCTGATTTAGTCCTGGTTCAGTCCTGGTTCAGTAGTCCTGGTTTAGTCCTGGTTCCTGGTTTAGTCCTGGTTTAGTCCTGGTTTAGTCAGTCTGTTTAGTCCTGGTTTAGTCCTGGTTCAGTCCTGGTTTAGTCCTGGTTAGTCCTGGTTTAGTCCTGGTTTAGTCCTGGTTTAGTCCTGGTTCAGTCCTGGTTTAGTCCTGGTTTAGTCCTGGTTTAGTCCTGGTTCAGTCCTGGTTCAGTCCTGGTTTAGTCCTGGTTTAGTCCTGGTTTAGTCCTGGTTCAGTCCTGGTTTAGTCCTGGTTCAGTCCTGGTTCAGTCCTGGTTTAGTCCTGGTTCAGTCCTGGTTCAGTGGCTCTGGTGTTTACCTGCTCTACCCCTGTTCTACAATAATAATATTTCATACATGTGGGAGAATCTCACATGTTTATGATTAAAATCCATGTTTCTATTGTGAAACAGTGAGTTTTAGGGTCTAGTCACTGACAGAAACGATCAGGTTCATTCATTCATTTGTGAATTCATCTCTTCAATATTTCACAACAAACTACAGCCACAGGGAAATCTGTCTCCTGCCCCCTCCTGGCAGCACCACGTCACTTACAGTTTACAGTCTGAAAAAACAACGATCATAAACCAAACATCAGCTCAGACACAAATATTGACACTTTGCAGCTGAAGTCGTGAACGCTTCCCTGTGGGTGTGACGCTAACTGTAGGCACTGCTCTGTCTGAGGCTGTATTAGACTTTAATCTGTGTTTTATTCCAACTCAATCTGACCAGAAAGAACCGACTGAACTTCCACAGGTGAGCGGATCTGTGCTGTTCAACAACGTCTCACCGCTTCTGTCGTATCGATCACAGGCTCCTGAAAATGTGTCTTTAAATCCATTTTGTGTTTTTTCTTAAAGGTTGTATAGAGGATTTTTTTAAGGGAAGAGAAATACAGCGACAGTCCTTGTGCGCGTTCAGAATCACTGTTGAAGTTTCCTGTCTAGAAGTAATTCAGCGACCGACGCGTCAGTTTTTAGACCCTTCGTCTGCTTCGGTCGCGCCATCGCTGGACGAGATCTCCAAGAATCACCTCAGTTTGGCTTTGCTCCTTTTCCACTTCTCTTAGTCTTTCAGCGACCTCAAAAACGGACTTTCTTTTGCGGTGAACCGGTCGTGGATTCTCGTCCGCCGTCGCGACAAACTTTGTGCGAAATGCGAGGAAGCGACAGTTCGAAAAAGCCTCTAAGAACCACTGCATAAACCACGTAATCCCCGCGCTCCGACGAGTCAGTTCCCACTAGGGAGTTTGATTGACAACCTAACAGCCAATAGAAAATGAGGGAGCCTCGTTTTCTATTGGCTGATGTTTATCTGGCCTCAACACGTCCACAGTTGATAGATTTTCGTTCTTTTTTTTTGGTCGTCATAATTACAAAGCTGCTGCGTCTCTGTAATGGTATTTTAATCTTTCACTGACAGTTTGAAACAAAAAAAAAAATCCTCCATACAACCTTTAAGTTTTCAGACAATCTTAGAACGTTTTTCACAGGGTGTGTGTGTCTCCACGGTAACTCCTAAATGTTCCACCATTAGAGGTACATGTAGATCACCCCCAGCATGACGTCACTGCAAAATATCAATAAGAGACGAACCACCAGATCAGGTCGAACAGGAAAGTCACATGTACACGCATGTTTTTGTGCAGTGCAAAAGTAGAGAAGCTCATACACGCTTTTCTTAAAACGTCCAAAATATGATTCACTCACTTTTTTTAACAAATGACAAATGTTGGACCAATGACCAGTGTCAGTTTCACCTGCATCAACAGCCCAGAGATAAAACTCAATCTGTTTATCTGTTTTCTTTTGTGTTTGTGTGAAGTGTCTTTGAGTCTCATGAAAAACGCTGAATAAACCAGGACTAAACCAGGACTAAACCAGGACTGAACCAGGACTAAACCCAGGACTAAACCAGGACTAAAGGACTAAAGGACTGAACCAGGACTAAACCAGGACTAAACCAGGACTAAACCAGGACTAAACAGGACTAAACCAGGACTGAACCAGGACTAAAAGGACTAAACCAGGACTAAACAGGACTAAACCAGGACTGAACCAGGACTGAACCAGGACTGAAAGGACTGGACTGAACCAGGACTGAACCAGGACTAAAGGACTAAAACAGGACTAAAACAGGACTAACCAAAACTGAACCAGGACTGAACCAGGACTAAACCAGGACTAACCAGGAACCAGGACTGAACAGGACTAAACCAGGACTAAACCAGGACTGAACCAGGACTAAACCAGGACTGAACCAGGACTAAACCAGACTAAACAGGACTGAACCAGGACTGAACCAGGACTAAACCAGGACTAAACCAGGACTGAACCAGACTAAACCAGGACTGAACCAGGACTAAACCAGGACTAAACCAGGACTAACCAACTAACCAGACTGAAGACCAGGACTAAACCAGGACTGAAACCAGGACTAAACCAGGACTAAACCAGACTGAACCAGGACTGAACCAGACTAAAAAGACTACCAGACTAAACCAGGACTGAACCAGGACTAATCCAGAACTAAACCAGAACTAAACAGGACTAAACCAGGACTAAACAGGACTAACCAGGACTAAACCAGGACTAAACCAGGACTAAACCAGGACTAAAAGACTAAAACCAGGACTAAAGGACTCAGGACCAGACTAACTAAAAGACGGACTAAACCAGGACTAAACCAGGACTAAACCAGGACTAAACCAGGTAACAGGACTAAACCAGGACTAACCAGGACTAACAGACTAAACCAGACTAGGACTAAAACAGGACTAAAGGACTAAACCAGGACTAAACCAGACTAAAAAGGACTAAACAGGACTAAACCAGGACTAAACCAGGACTAAACCAGGACTAAAACAGGACTAAACCAGAACTAAAACAGGACTAACCAGGACTAAACAGGACTAAACCAGGACTAAAAGGACTGAACCAGGACTAAACCAGGATTAAAACAGGACTAAAACCAGACTAAACCAGGACTAAACCAGGACTAAACCAGGACTAAACCAGGACTAAACCAGGACTAAACCAGGACTAAACCAGACTAAACCAGGACTGAACCAGGACTAAACCAGGACTAAACCAGGACTAAACCAGGACTGGCCTGGAGTAGTTTATGATTTATGTTCTGTAGTTGATTATAAACGGCGTTGATGTTAATAATTTGGTTCCAGATCATTTTGAGTAAAAAAAAACGTCAAATATTACAGATTTAAAACTTTAAAACATCTGAACGTGGATCAGTGTGAATGGATTTTTAATTTTTTTTTTTAAATCTGAGTGAAACATCAGGGAGCTGCTAGAGATAATAAAGATAATAACAGTTTTATTTGACTGTGGACGTGTGTTTTTTTGATTTGTGTTGAAGTTGTGGTGTGTGTTTCGTCTCAGAGCTCATGAACAGGACCTGACGAAGAGACACGAGCGAGACCTGGGGGAGATCAGCGCCGCTCACCACCGGGAGGCGCAGTGCATGTTGGCCGACTTCAACAAGGCCCAAGAGCTGCTCAAAGACAAGATCTCCGCTCTGCAGATCCTGTGCGTATTCAACATAAACCAAGAGCTCGAGTCACAACGTCTGTGGGTTTGTAATGTTCCGTGTTGTTGCTTTAGCTTGGAGGGAACCGAGGAGAAGCTGAGGAACAGGGAGAGTCGACCTGAAGATCTCCACGTGATCGCAGAGCTCAGAGAGATGGTGACGGAGCGAGAGGCGCTGGTCAAGAAACTCGTGGTGCGTTTAAAATACAAAACAAACACAAACTCACGGGTCAGACCAGTGTTTCCCAAACTTTTTTCTCTGGGGATCCATATTTTAAAAACCTTCAAAACCTTCACGACCCAAGTCAACAGACATTATTAATAAATCACCAAATAAAGTTGTATTTGAGCATTATTGAACATTAATGAGGAGATTTTATTGTTGACTGAGTGTCGTGTCTCTAAACGATTAGTATGACTCAAGTTTTAAACTATGAAAAACAGTAGAACATGTATTATTTCTTATTTATTTATTTGTGAAAGGACAGCACATATTAATGAACATGAACATAATTATTGACCACAGGAGCAGCATCCCACCAAACATGCATTTTTAAGACTCATAAATCCATCTGTTTGTGTTTCCAGGACGATAAGAAGTTCTACCAGCTGGAGTTGGTGAACAGAGAAACAGGGTTTGGGAAAGTGTTTAACGCCAGCGCCAACGTGGGAGTCATTAACCCTCTGATCAAAGTGAACGGAGGCCAGCAGTACACGAAGGCACGCGACACACACACACACACACACACACACACACACACACACACACACACTCTCTCTCTGTATGAGGCCGTCTGGGAAGAACTTTGGGCCACTGCAAACTGAAGTCGTTCTGTCTTTCATGTTTTTAAGACAGAAAAAATCAAGATCCAAAGACTTAAACAACAACAAACACTCACATCTCCCAGACGGTCTTAAAGTGCACGGTTTCCTCCTCCTCTGCAGATTGTGTGATTGTTCTCCTCAGCTTGACTTTGGTTTGTTCAGGTTCACTGCGTTTCCCACTTTTGTCTTGATCATTTCTTCTTCAGGCCTGAACATTTTTCACTGTGTTCTCATTTCAAAAGCATCATTACTGTCAACATGTTTTCCAAACCCGACCCTTCACTCCCTCTTGCACAAAAACTGCTTGATTGCGCCTAATTCACCAAATCCGTTTAGTTTACATAGAGACTTCGTTTGTGTTTGGATTAGAAACGCGCTCTGAACTTCTGAATATGACCAGTGTGGGTTTGGTGTTATGACACGTGAAAGTGTGAGGGACAGAGTGATGAGGCAGTGAGGCGCAGCGTCTGCAGCCGGAGTCTCCAAACCTTTTCCTCCCGTGAGCTCCTCTACAAAATAAAAATGCCAGAGAGATGCCAAATTTAGCAGTTGCAAACAATCTGAGTAAATATAAGAGCCACAGCGAGTCTTAGATGGGGACAGTTATAAAACATAAACCATTATCCATTTGTCGGTGCAACACGTTAGGGATCAAAATGATTTACAGTTAATTAATCCAGTAATTAATCAAATTTGACTTATTATCCACAATAGAAAGAATTCAGAAATCTCTTGGCGAGTTACTTGGAAGGGCGTGGGGAGCTTCCGGTAGCTCCCGAGCTGCAGGTTGGAGACTCCTGATCTACAGAGTCCAGCAGTTTTACACTTTCAGCAGCGATTTCAAATGTCCAAACTCACGTGAACAGTCAGCGAGGAAGATTTAATAAATCATAAACTCACTGAAATATGCGCCCACTTTCGTCGTATTTATTGCGCTTTCCGTGGTAAATAGCGAGGGTGGGGGGGTGGGGGGGGGGGTTAGGGTGGGGTGCTCTGGTCGGGGGGTTAGGGTGGGGTGCTCTGGTCGGGGGTTAGGTGGGGGTGCTCTGGTCGGGGGGTTAGGGTGGGGGCTCTGGTCGGGGGGTTAGGTGGGGGTGCTGGGGGGGTTAGGGTCTCTGGTCGGGGGGTTAGGGTGGGGCTGGTCGGGGTTAGGGTGGTGCTGGGGTCGGGGGTTAGGGGGTGGTGTCTCTGGTCGGGGGTTAGGGTGGGGGGGGGGGGTCAGGGGGGTGATGTTGGTGCCGAGTCCAGCGCAGTGTCCAGACTCAGAGCTGTGACAGACGCTCAGATGGAGACACTGGGGCTGGGACAGACTGAGACTCACTGCTCCTGGAGAAACTCTGTTAGACAAAACAGACCAGACATGTCAGACTCAGGCCCGGGGGCCAAATTTGTCCCACGATATAATTTTATTTGGCCTGTGAGATCAAATCAAATATATATAACTGCCTGCCGGATACAGACTATAGAGACACATTATTTATTTAAAATGTTATTATTTTATATTCTGCTTGTTCTGGATTCAATGTTTAAGCAAAACTATTATTATTATTTAGTTTGACCCACGACTTAGACCCAGTTTTTAATTTTGGCCCTTTGTGAATTTGAGTTTGACACCTCTGCAACAGACACATGCTCTCTAAAACCCTCAGAAATGTTATTGGATCACACAATAATATATTTATAGGAAATAATTTAAGAAAATATTTAACTTACAATTATCGAGGAATTAGAATTTTTCGTCGCATTATCAGAGTGATAATATTCTAAAACAGTAGAATTTTTGTTCTCTCCTGACTATTTGTAGGATTTGTTTTTCCAGAAGAACATTTTCAGTTAAGAAAAAGTTTTGTAAATGTCAAAAATGTTCATAAAACGGCCTCTCTCTCGATCTATAACGATAAAATGCAGAAATATTTAAGTTTGCTGTTATAAAAAGTACATTTATAAAGGTTTAAAGGAGAGTTTTTGAGAATAGTCGTCGGCATGGCACCTGTATACCACAACAACTTCACTTTAAATCCGTTTTTATTTTTTTATTTTTAAATTTCTGCCTGCGTCTCACTTTCTTTCCCCGTGTCACAAACTTGCCGCTGTCCGTTTGGAGTCAGACGTGTAAAAAACGCGCCGTCTCTACTGTATGTGTGTAGCCGAACTCCGTCGTCCAATCAGAGCAGAGCCTCAGCCTCTCTAGCCAATCAGCCGTGGCCTTCTGTAGCGCGCAGGCGGGACAGGAAGTGCGCTGGTCCCGACCGCGACTCAGGAAGCGCCGCCCTCCCTCCATCAACGTCACGCCATTTCCTGTCTCCGCCCACTCCCGCCCGACCAGACCGAACCAGGACCAGGGCCACAGGTGAGGACTAAACCAGGACTAAAACCCGGGACTAACCAGGACTAAACCGGGACTAAACCAGGACTAAACCGGGACTAAACCAGGACTGAACCCGGGACTAAACCGGGACTAACCGGGACCGGGACTAAACCAGGACTAACCCGGGACTAACCCGGGACTAAACCGGGACTGAACCAGGACTAAAACCGGGACTAAACCGGGACTAAACCGGGACTAAAAGGACTAAACCAGGACTGAACCGGGACTAAACCGGGACTAAACCGGGACTAAACCGGGACTAACCTAAACCGGGACTAAAACCAGGATTAGACCAGGACTAGACCAGGACTAGACCAGGACTAAACCAGGACTAGACCAGGACTGAACCGGGACTAAACCGGGACTAAACCGGGACTAGACCAGGACTAACCAGGACTAAACCAGGACTAGACCAGGACTAAACTAGGACTAGACCAGGACTAAACCAGGGCCACAGGTGAGGACTAAACCGGGACTAAACCGGGACTAAACCAGGACTAACCCGGGACTAAACCGGGACTGAACCGGGACTAAACCAGGTCTAAACAAGGACTAGACCAGGACTAAACCGGGACTAAAGGGACCGGACTAAACCAGGACTAAACCAGGACTAAACCAGGACTAAACGGGCCACAGGTGAGGACTGAACCGGGACTAAACCGGGACTAAACCAGGACTAACCTGGGACTAAACCAGGTCTAAAACAGGACTAGACCAGGACTAAATCGAGACTAGACCAGGACTAAACCAAGACTAAACCAGGACTAAACCAGGACTAGACCAGGACTAAACCAGGACTGAAACCGGGTCCAGACCAGGACTAAACCAGGACTAAACCAGGTCCAGACCAGGACTAAACCAGGACTAGACAGGGACTAGACCAGGACTAAATCGAGACTAGACCAGGACTAAAACAAGACTAAACCAGGACTAAACCAGGACTAGACCAGGACTAAACCAGGACTGAACCGGGTCCAGACCAGGACTAAACCAGGACTAAACCAGGTCCAGACCAGGTCCAGACCAGGTCTAGACCAGGACTAAACCAGGTCCAGACCAGGACTAAACCAGGTCCAGACCAGGACTAAACCAGGACTAAACCAGGTCCAGACCAGGACTAAACCAGGACTAGACCAGGACTAGACCAGGACTAAACCAGGACTAGACCAGGACTAAACCAGGACTAGACCAGGACTAAACCAGGACTAGACCAGGACTAAACTAGGACTAAACTAGGACTAAACTTTGACTAAACTTTGACTAAACCTGGTCTAAACTTGGTCTTAACTATAACTTAACTTGGTCTAAGCCAGAACTAAACCAGGTCTTAACCTGGTCTTTTTGATAGAGTTTGAGTTTGTCACAGTAAACGGCGTCGTTTGTTTGTTTCATTTTCATTTTTCATTTCACTTCTGTTTGTTTCTTGTTTGTTTCTGTTGTTGTTTTAATGCTTGTGTAATGTTACTTGAATCTCACTGCACTGAGGAACCTGCCTCAAACTCACACGTCTCATCATTTTATAGATGAACGTGAGTTTTGGGAACAATTTAAAGGTTCATATGACACTTTTTCACTTTTTACCCAGTTTACACTTTTTACACTGTCGTTTCCTCGTCACAAACAGACCTGAGGGTTTTTTTCATGAAGCTAAAGTGAAAATCTGAATTATTTTGTCCAATCCAGGTTCATCAAAGCCTCAGTCCCACTAAACTGACTGACCAGAATTGACCTGAGTCACCACGGTAACAAACACCTGGAAACAAACCTGGTCACTGTTTTAGCTCCAAGAACGTCTAAAGAAACAGTTTAGTCAAATGTTCTTAACCTGATTCGTGAGTCGGTTTCACTTGGTGGAAACCGTGTGACCCCGCAGCATTAACGTCTTTCCTTTTGATAAAATTCACCAAACATTCTCTTCCGGGAGCGAGTGACTCCAGGTCGGAATTCTCTTTGATCAGACGCAGGATTATTTCTGTCGTGGAATGAAACTGGAGTTGGATTCAGCTCAGGATTTCAGGATAAATCTGGATTTGTTGAGCGAGTTTGATGGGAAAAAAAAAACCCTGGAGTTGTGTTTTGTTTCATTCACACAAGTTTAACTCACAAACCTGCACATTTAAGCTAAGTTCTTCTCTCAAACTGAAAAAACAAACAAAAACTCACCTTGTGATGTCATCATGTGGTGATACAGGAAGTGCTCCGTTGTGTTTTTAAACTCCACACACTTTCACTAGAATTATTTGGATCATTTCAGACCTGGAATTACTGATCTCTACTGAACTAAAGGTAAAAGAAGCTGTTAAAACTACCACTTCATGACATCACAAGGTGGAACAGAGCGTTTGTAGATGTAGACAGACTCAGAATAAAGAAACAAAACACAAGTCCAGGTTTGTTTTTGAGGAGGGAACAGTTTTATAACACGACTTAAAGCTCAAGTGAGTCGTTTTGTGTGATACAGGAGCTTTTATTCATCTTAAATTGACTTTCTGTTTTTGTTTTTGTGTTTTTTTTGTAGCCTTCCTGAAGCGAACGACGTGAACAGCGTGAAGTCCGAGCTCAAGGCGCTGGAAGCGGCTCCGCTCGACTCCGCCTACTTCACCTTCTGACACGAGCGCAAAAAATATCAGAAAACAGTCAAAAAAATCCACAGCGCAGAGGAACAGAGGAACAGAGGACGAGACGGGGGATATATACATGTGTGTCTTTATTTATTTGAGTTTAAATTTAAGTTTATACCACAAAACCCGAGTAAAACAGCAAAATTATTTACAATTCTTCTTCATGGTTTGTTACTGTGGGAACAGATCAGATTTGAGTAACAAACTTTATAAATTCACCTTGAAACTTTGCAGCTGATGTCACATATTCTTTCTCTGTCTGAAATTCTGTGACTCAAATTAGACTTAAATTTGAGTTTTTTTTAACACAATCTGAGCAGAAAGACCTGATTTAACTACAACTACAACAGGTGATCTCATTTTTACTGTTAAAAAAGTCTCACACATAAAATTGTTACTACAATTATTACAATTTTACTCAAGTTTTACCTTGAAAATTCAGTTTTGTTCATAAATTTTTTTAAGTCTCTAAAAAACCAAGGAAAATTATCTTTATTTATTATTATTTGAATAAAATAAAACAAATATATACAGGGTGTCCCAAGATATTTGACATCATCCAAACATGTTCTTCCTCTTCTCCGGGGGCATCAGTCTAAACAGAGACTCCCAGACTTCCTTCACCCCAGACACTTCCTCCAGCTCCTCCAGTGGGACCTGAGTCGTTCCCAGTCCAGAGACATGGTCCCTCCAGGTTGTCCTTCCCTGGTGCCTCCTCCCGGGCGCCTCTGTTAGAACAGACGTCCTCCCCTCAGCTGCTCCTCTCCACGTGGAGGAGCAGCGGCTCTACTCCGAGCTCCTCACTCTGTCTCTAAGTGAGCGTCCAGACGCCCTGCAGAGGAAACTCATTTTACCCAGAGCTCAATTTGACATAATTTTAAAAGCAATTATCTTGAAAACAAAAGTCCAGCTCTGTGAAACTCCACAGTTTATGTGTTCAACATTATTCTGGGACTTTGTTTTTCCAGTTGGTGAAGTTTTTCCAAATTTTGCACTGAAGGCTGCACAGTTTAGACGGACTGTTTATTCTAAAATGCAAAATGACTTCTGTTTGGGAGTGAACGGCTCAACCTGAAAACAGAATAAAATCTTGATCTGTTTCTGAACATTCTGTGAAAATTTGAGGTTATTTCAACAAGAATTGACAAAAAAAAAGATTGGCCTGCGAAACGATGTCAAACTTTTTCTGACGCCCTGTATATTATTTTTATTTTCAGTTTCCAAATTTAATATAATTGTTTAAACAAAATTTGCATAAAATTGATCAGTTCTGTTTACTTCATTAAATATTTAGGGCTATTTAAAATATCTCACTGCAAAAAACACAAAACAAAATCTAGTCAAGTTCAGACGACTTGAATTAAGAAAGTTTGATCATGATTTGTGTAAATTTCACTTGACGAGTAAAATTATTAAGACTTTTTGTAATTAAAACATGAAAATACAACTTGCTTCACTTAAAATAAGACACAAAATCAATAATTTAGCTTGAATTAAGAAAAAAAACTTATTCTATTGGGAGATTAATTTTATTTGTCAAGTTGAATCGACTCAAATAAAGTCAAATGTTGTCATTTTAATTGACCTAGATATTGTTTTTTTTTCCAGTGCAAGAACATTTTCTGAGTGCTTTTTTGTTTTTAAAAAAATCAACAGTATTTTTATTATTTATTTATTTATTTAATCTTATTTTTTATTTATTTTTTAATTATTTTATTTTAATTTTTTATATGAATTTGACTCACAAAACCCAATTTAGTTTGTTCGTTTAATTATGAAGTGTGTGTGTAAAAGCCGATGTGGTGATTTTTACCTCGTTTGTGACACCAGCAGAGCGCCCCGACCCCTGACCTCTGACCCTGTGACCTCTGTGACCCTCCGAACCTCTGACCTCTGACCCCTGCGCTGATGGAAGTGTACAGAACCTCGATGTCTTCACTTGTTTTCTCAAATCTCTCAGAGGAGCGTTTGGTTCACGGCCCGGCTCCTCCCGCCCGAGCGTGAGCGTGAGTGTGTGTGTGTGTGTGTGTGCGTCGTGTGTGTGTGCGTGTGTTTGTGCGTGTGAACCAAGCGCTCCTTCAGATTTTTACTATTGGAGTATTTATAACTGTTTTTCTACGGTCGACGCCAAGCTCCTCAAACACGCGCGAACTCGGCTCCGGCTCCACGACGACGACGTCTTAAAGCCGCACTGAGAGACTTTTTCAGGCTTCGCCGCTGCCTGCTCGTTACCGTGGAGACATGACTCGCCACTTTGCCCAGAACGTCCCGCAGTGTGACATTAAAGCGCCAATTAAAGTCACAGGTCGTATCTTTATATTATATAAGATTTTACCAAAAAAGAAAAATTGCAATTCTTTTTCGGAATTTGGTCATTTTTTTAGGTTTAAAAATTTGACTTTACCTGGTTGTAAATCGTAACGTCACGCCAGAGAATCCCATGGCCACGTTTACATGATGTTTTTTAAATTTTTCGGAATTAAATACTTTGGAATTAAAATATTCTGCTGCTCGATTGTGGAAAAAAATTAAATAAAATTTCGCGATTATTTTGGTCAATATTGAAATCACGATTATTCAAACGAAAAAAATTTTGTGACACGATGCTTTTATTCAGCATTTCTCTCTCAAAAAATCTCTGTTATTGATAATTTACACAAAACTATAAAAAATAAAAATAAATATCAGCTACAAATCTGAGCCTTAGAGCAGTTTTGTGAAGTATAAAACATAAAATGAATAAAATAAGCTTCGAACATGAAATGAAAAAAAAACATATTTTTTAAATTCGGAATTAAAGCTCTCATGTAAACCCCTCAAACTTACACAGAAATTACGATTTAGCAAATAAAAATGTAAATAAAACGCCATAATTTAGTTGAGAAAATGTTTAAAGTGTCAGAAAAAATGCAAGTCTTGCGCGTAAATTGTGCTGAACTTTTGGACTCTCTACATTTTTTACAAATTTTCAACATATTTTTCAACATATTTTTACTTTTCAGCAGGTATTATCCCAACAAATTAAGTCAAAATTAAAAAATCGCCAAAATCTGTTGAATAATCTTGCTTTAAATAAATGAAATTACATCTTATTGCGCAAAAACGCCTTGAAATTTCTGCGTTTTTTTTTTTGCTCTCTTCTCCATAGATTTGACCTGTAACTTGGCCGCGTAGCATCAACGAATCAAAACCCCCAGGCAGAGCTGAGACGTCTCCACGGAAACGAGCCGTCACAAAGCGCGCCGCCCGTCCCAGAAATGTTCCGTAGTGCGTCTTTAAGCCGAAGTCGCGCGTGTTTTTGGTAGACCCTAGTGCATGAAAAAACAGGATCACTGAACCAAACATCCACACGTAGATATTTACCAAACACTTTATTTTACTATTTCCCACGTGTACAAATGCATGAGTACGACACGTTTAAGGTTTTTTTTGATTTTTAAAACGGAATTTAAAAATCGTTTATTTGAAATCTCGAGGCTTGTCTTCCATAGAGTTTTTCTGTCTCGCGGAAATAATCGAGAGGTTTTTTTTTCTCGTACAAAATTTAGCCAAGGTTCTGTCGTCTGAAGTCCGACGTCGTCTCGTTTCGTATCACTGTGAGTTTGTTGGAGATCGTCGAGGTTGTCGGTTTGATTCCCACTGCTGGCCGCTTGTGTCCACGAGCAAGACACTTCACCCAATTCGCTTCTTTAAACGTAACGGTCGTACAAAATGATTTACGTTGTTAGAAAAACCATGGACTGTTAAAATAATATTGGTTTTATTTTGATTTTTGGAACGTTTTACCAAATTATTAAGTTTTCAAAAAAATACGATTTACTAATTTTAATTTCAAGGTCCCATGTTACGGTTTTGAGTTTAATCATCGTAAACAGACCTGGAGTTGTGTTTTCATTTGGATCATTTCTGGAAATTTGGCTCTGAAATCGCAAATTTTCTAAAAGGAAACGTAGCTGTTCACTTGAAAACTACCACTTCATGACATCACAAGTTGGATCAGAGCATTTTGAGCTTAATAAAGAGTGTGCACTGCAAATTTCTCTGATCTGACCAAAATTTTAAAACTTACGTCAGGTTATTTGTCTTGTTTTTTTGTTTTTTTTTTTTCAGATTTATTATCGACTTTCTCGTTCTGAATTGGTCGTTTAGTCTTAAAAATTGTCAGATATTTCTTCCGTGACTCAGAAAATCTTAAATTTAGGCAATAAATGTTTAAAAGAAGCGACAATCCGTTTACAAAAGTCTTCCCCGGCAACACTAAACCTGTTTTTAGATTCAGATTTACTTGTTTATCTCAAACTTACATCTTTAAACTTATTTCTAGCCCATGAAAACTCACGAGAAACTGTTAAATTCTCGTCTAGACGTCGTTTTTTTTAAGAGAACTCGTCAAATAAACTGATGTTGCTGCACGGACAGGATCGTTTCACTACTTTTAAGTCTTTTTCTGGTAGATTTAAGTGTTTAAATCTTAAATTTTGGACACGTTTTTTTGCAGAGTGAATGAAACAAAACACAAGTCCAGGTTTGTTTTTGAGGATTAAACAACAGTAAAACACGACTTAAACCTCAAAGTCTGTTTTGGTGAAATATAGGACCTTTATGGAGTAAGAAGCTTTCAGAAATATTCCTGTGCATAGAAAAGAAATCCGTGTGTATTTGTCTGTAGTTGCGCATAAAATAAATATTCGTAAACTCGAGTCCAGTCGTACATAAAATATATTGTGTGTTTTTTATCCATCAGAATAGAAACTGAAAAGTTACGACGTCAAGAATTACAATCACCAAATGAAAATTTACGATTAAACTTTCATCAGTACGAACACGAATTCACAGACGCGACTCGACTGTCAGAAAAACAACATCTTCACAGAGATTATTTATGGAGCAGAAGAAACATCGATCAAGATCAAGACTGAGCAGCTCAAGTTTGTAGCAGAGTAAAAACAGAGTAAAAACAGAGTAAAAACAGAGTAAAAGCACAAGAAGCTACAACAGAACAACAAGTGGGTTCATTCAAATCTGTTGTAAAAATGTCTTGAATTCGGGAACCAAACGCTGCTGTATAATATTGTGTAGAAACACCTCCTCTGAACGGGAAATTGCACCTAAATGTTAGAAAACATAGTGGAGCCAGTTGGAAACATCAGACGTAACGTCATCCCAGGGATCATTAACAAATATCAGGTTCTCTGTATGTTTAGATTAAAACATTCATGACTACAGCCACTCTGTTTTTACTCTGTTTTTACTCTGTTTTTACTCTGTTTTTACTCTGCTACAAACTTGAGCTGCTCAGTCTTGATCTTGATCGATGTTTCTTCTGCTCGATGAATAATGTCTGTGAAGTGATGATGTATTTTTGACAGTAAAGTTCCGTCTGTGAATTCGTATTCGTACTGATGAAAGTTTAATCGTAAATTTTCATTTGGTGATTGTAATTCATGACGTCGTAATTTTTCAATTCGTATTCTGATGGATAAAATACACACAATATATTTTATGTACGACTGGACTCATTTGAGAGTTTACGAATATTTATTTTATGCGCAACTACAGACAAATACACACGGATTTCTATTTTACGCGCACGAATATTTTTG